AAACAGGTTGACATTACAGTTCAAACAGGATCAATAACACATTCTGCGAATCTTCTTTATGTGTCGCTGGCCTCTAAGCGTTGGTTTTGGTACGAAACTGCTCTTGAGTGGATATGGCTTTCAAACCGTTGAGAATTTGAGACTGCTGAGAGGTTTCTCATTCTTTGTTATGGTTCTCAAACTGTTGGTTTGGTACCGAATTGTTCTTGAGTTTTTGGCTTTCAAACTGTTGTGTGAAGGATGAGATGTTGAGAGATCCCTCGTTCTTTAGCTTGGCTCCCAAACTGTTGTGGAGGATGAGATGTTGAGAGGTCCCTCGTTCTTTGGCTTGGCCCCCAAACTGTTGTGTGCTAAATTGGCTGATGTTACCCGAGAATCACGCTGTCACTTAATTCACACTTTATCTCGTTATCCAAGCTTTCAGCCCACCACACAGAATCCTACGCGTCCACTTTCTCTCGTGCAAGCACGCCTTGTTCATGAATAGACGTTTTCACTGGTCTCCTCTTAATACTCGGATCATATTGACACTCTTTCCTCGTGAACTTACAGGAAGTACAGGCATACTATTGTCCCTTCCCACAATATCACACTTAACCCAAATCAGCGCGCAACATCATATCCTCCCCCTCTCCCAACTGACAACTAACTGAAATTAAGTTGTCAGTTGTTGAGTTAGAACAAATCCTTGTTGCGTGCTGATTTCACAATTATAATAATCTTTGAACATGTGATATCGTAACATCCAACAACAATGCAGTTAACTAAAGTATCATTGTATATCTCAATACAGCAAACACTTGGCTATTAATCTAATTTTAACAACTATGTTATGTTTGATACAGTGTAAAGCGGCCTTCATTTAGGTAGTGGGCACCCTTGAACACTGTGTAGTGAATTGACACAGCTGCATGTTCCCCCGTTGCTGTACCTCGTCTCTTGCTCAACTTTCTGTAGGCATACATGACCGGATGTAAATGACCTCTAAAGTCGTATGGGAGCACGTCGCTTAGATTGATGTCACACACGTCCCATGCCACATGGAAAGAAAACATTTTATTAGGCAACGTAAAATGGTATACAAGCGAATCATTTTTGTAAATCGCGTAATGTTATTGCATAATGCTCTGCCCATTTCGTTGTGTTTGGTATGCCTTTCCTACAAACGCAAACAGCAATTGTTGCAACATGTGGTATGAATGTTGAGTACCCAGTTTTTAAACATAATTCTTACTTTCTTCTTCATTCTGGAAACTGGAATTTAACAATCTCTACATTTCTAGATACTGGTTTTTTCACTATTTCCCTATAATATCCCATTACATCCCTGTAGCAACTTCTTGATGCCCGTCTGGCTGTTAGAGCTGTAGTGTTTTTGCAGGACAATCTATCTCAAAAGTTGTATCTCTGATTTACGACTCCTTGTTTGACGACAAAACCCACGTCAAACAAGGGTCACACAGATACTATCGCCAAAACTTCTGCATCGTGGATTACCTACCACGAGGTCAAAAGTTCAGCACACACCAATGTCTCCTCCAGCGACGAAAAATACCCACGTCGCGGGATAAAACGTGTGAAATTTCTAACACGTGGAGCGATCCACAACCCAGCATCACTCACCGTGTTTCTCTAGTTATTTTCTCCCGGCAGATCTGTGAGCTTGATAATGATTACAGCACCATCCGTAACACATAACCACTCTCAACTTAAGACCGCCGGTGTTTTGTCCAAAATTGTATTCTGTCCTCAAGAACACTACGCTTACGTTATACAGAGACAATAGGGATGAACTGATGATACTGGACGAATGTGCATCTAAAGCTCCCCCTGTACATTATATTATGCTACTACGTTGTCACATGAAAGATAACACATCACCTCGACTCGGCGTGAGTCCACGACATTCGCTTTCGGCCTACGGCCCCTCCTAGGGTCACCGATAGCCTTCTTATAACTCTCGCGTTGTCACTTCAGGACAGATTCTTCTTCTTGGTTACGTGCCCTTCCTTTGGGTCACTGTAACATATACACGATAACTGATGAGACTTGGCCCCAGGCAACAGAGTCTCTCAGCCCACAGCCGAATTATCATCACGAGGCACTGCATTATCCTCATCCTCGTAATTCCGCCACGCTTGACTCTTGTCGAATCTTGTGGCTAATAACATGTTGGGTACTCTAAGCCTTATCCCCACACAATTCGCATAACGTGAGCACTTCGACTAATGCACCAAATTCACTTCCTTGATAAGCTACTAAATGTAATCTGTGTTTTCCATGTTAATAGATTCATCAAAAAACTACACACAACTGTACCTCTTCAATCTTTCAATGTCATAATGTAACTCACTTTCTGGTTTTAAAACAAGTAATTTTGGTTCATACTTTACCACCTCTTCACTTGAGTGGTTTGAACCCTGTCCTTTCTTTAGCGACTCACCTCGCTAATTCTTTTGTCTCTTTTTCTGTAATGGCCAACTCTGCCATTTCTTTTTGATGAGATTTTTCCGCAGCTCTCTAATCTCTAGTCGCTTCTTCATTTTCTGCTTGTCTTGCAGCTTTTTGTTTTTCTGTTACCTCTTTCATCCTAAATTCTGCAAAGCTTAGGATCTCTTCAGGCTTAAGTTCTAACTCCTCAGCTATGCTGACAAACTCAGCAAAGGACATTTTGACTGTTACTTATGTCAGTGTGATTGACACCAATAAAAGACAGTACACGACGTTACGATAACAGTGCTAACTTTTACGAAAACAAGACGAGAAAACAAGCTATGTATGACGGTACACTTAAGAAAATGGACCGAAAGCACAAGGATAATCACACCCGATAACAAACCGTACGTACAGGACTATTAACGCTACCTGACGCAGACAACTAGGTATTCCGGTCTATAAACTAATAGGCAGAAATAACTAAAAGACAGCTCCTAAATTATGCAACCTACAAAATGTTACCTAATTAGAAGCGCTCCTCCCAACCTCCCACAAAACAAGTATCTCACACAGATGACATCTTAGACGTACCAAACAATTAACGTGGTCAAAGCAATGTAAATACTGCAATAAAACATTACACAATTTACAATTACAGACCTGTCAATATTGGACGATGAGATGACAAGTGCAAGATGAAACACACACTAAACGCAGCTCCGGCAGGTCATTCAGCTCCAAGCATAGCTTCCATCTCAGGTTCAGCTCCTGGATAACACGGCTTCAGATCTGGCGACTTGACGTTTCTATGTTCTTCACTTTACGACAAACAGGTTGACATTACAGTTCAAACAGGATCAATAACACATTCTGCGAATCTTCTTTATGTGTCGCTGGCCTCTAAGCGTTGGTTTTGGTACGAAACTGCTCTTGAGTGGATATGGCTTTCAAACCGTTGAGAATTTGAGACTGCTGAGAGGTTTCTCATTCTTTGTTATGGTTCTCAAACTGTTGGTTTGGTACCGAATTGTTCTTGAGTTTTTGGCTTTCAAACTGTTGTGTGAAGGATGAGATGTTGAGAGATCCCTCGTTCTTTAGCTTGGCTCCCAAACTGTTGTGGAGGATGAGATGTTGAGAGGTCCCTCGTTCTTTGGCTTGGCCCCCAAACTGTTGTGTGCTAAATTGGGTCAGCACACTACCAAGTGTCAAGCAGGTACTCTTCAGCTTCCTTTCTCAACAAGACAACTCGACGACGATGACACCGTCATACAAGTTTATTTAACAGGATACATGACACAAATGCAGAGCTGTAGTTATTGATCACAGCTGACATTCGCACATCGTTCATTTGTCCTCACAGCTCTCTAACTCTCAATGTGTAGTGACCTCTCCTGGACTACTGCAGATACCAGGATGACGGCGTCCCACTCTCTGGACGCGTCGTACAGCTGAACAGGACGACTTCTCCCATTCACTGGACCTTGATATTAATTCAGCATACAACACGGCTGACTGGAGACGGACTTCTCTTGCCGTACTCCGAAACCAGGCACTACTGGTCTTCCCGTCCCCTGGACTTACTTTGGCAGCGGGACCATATTTTCCATACCGCAATTCCGACACTTACTCGGACCTAAATGCCCGATAGTCGTACGGTATGTTTGTCTGTTAGACTCGCGAGATTACCTGGACCCTGACTTGGTCTCTGACTCTCGCTTATCTCGGCTGATCCCTCGTGCTGGGTGTATACTACACCCACACTTCATCAATGCCCTTAGCCCTGTGGCTACATCTTTCTCTCTGTCTACTGCCCCCGAGGGGCTTTAGCCCTCAGGCTACAGCTCACTCTCTGGACTGTCTACGCAGCCCAATTTATATATGTCGAGTCCGTGTAGGTGGATGGTGATTACACGAGAGGCACGCTTGTGTGGGCGTTCTCGAGGATCACGCTTATGTGGGTGGCTGATGTTACCCGAGAATCATGCTGTCACTTAATTCACACTTTATCTCGTTATCCACGCTTTCAGCCCACCACACAGAATCCTACGCATCCACTTTCTCTCGTGCAAGCAGGCCTTGTTCATGAATAGACGTTTTCACTGGTCTCCTCTTAATACTCGGATCATATTGACACTCTTTCCTCGTGAACTTACAGGAAGTACAGGCATACTATTGTCCCTTCCCACAATATCACACTTAACCCAAATCAGCGCGCAACACCCCAGCTGTGGACAGTTTGTCTTGCGTTGGTTTCAACAGTGGTACCCAGAGTTGACCATTCAGAAAGCAAACTACTGAGCGTAAAATTTGCCTAAAAAGCTGTTAAGCCAAAAATTGCTGGGTTTGATTCTATTTCCCTCTGCTAAATGATGTGCAACTAACTAGGATGGTATTTGCATTTTTTGATAACTCATGTTTTCATACCATTAGTTTTCCCCTGGTGGTGTCTGTAGTGTTTGCAAAAATCTGTTGTTCTCTTTCACCCAAAAATATTGTACCTTATAGCTTTTATCCAGATGTTGTACAAGATTGTTGGAAACTGTAATTTGTGTTTTAAATTTCAGATCTGAATACTGTGTACAGATTTGCTAATATACCATTCCCTATAATATATGGCCTTGGTAAGTGACTTTGGAACAAGTGGTTTTCATAGTGTAATTTTCTTTCTACTGCCTGTCTGGATTTCTTATCAAATATTGACAACTACTTTAATTTAATCAAGACAGAATGTTTCTGGCAGATGCTTTGAATGGATTTTGTAGTTGACCTGGTTTCCCAGTGACCCAGCCTAAAAAATACCTGGAAAATTCATGGGAAGTAAAGTTGGCCAGCGTGATGGCTATGCATCTAGTCTATACAAATATTGATCTAGCGTCATATGCCAGATCCACTGGTGGCAAAGAAGAGGTCTTTTATATTTGCTTCTGTTGACTCTGTCTCATGCAGACCTGGTTATACTCATCTCATGCAGATTCTGTTATACTGATCCAGCTCATGCAGATTCTGTTATACTCATCTCACGCAGACCTGGTTTTTCTCATCTCATGCAGATTCTGTTATACTCATCTCATGCAGACCTGGTTATACTCATCTCATGCAGATTCTGCTATACTCATCTCATGCAGACCTGGTTATACTCATCTCATGCAGACCTGGTTTTTCTCATCTCATGCAGACCCGGTTATCTCATGCAGACCTGGTTATACTCATCTCATGCAGACCTGGTTATACTCACCTCATGCAGACCTGGTTATACTCATCTCATGCAGACCTGGTTTTACTCATCTCATACAGACCTGGTTATACTCACCTCATGCAGACCTGGTTATACTCATCTCATGCAGACCTGGTTTTACTCATCTCATGCAGACCTGGTTATACTCATCTCATGCAGACCTGGTTTTACTCATCTCATGCAGACCTGGTTATACTCATCTCATGCAGATTCTGCTATACTCATCTCACGCAGACCTGGTTATACTCATCTCATGCAGACCTGGTTTCTCTTATCTCATGCAGACCTGGTTATACTCATCTCATGCAGACCTGGTTTCTCTCATCTCACGCAGACCTGGTTATACTTATCTCATGCAGATTCTGCTATACTCATCTCATGCAGATTCTGTTATACTCATCTCATGCAGACCTGGTTATACTCACCTCATGCAGACCTGGTTTTACCCATCTCATGCAGACCTGGTTTTACCCATCTCACGCAGACCTGGTTATACTCATCTCATGCAGACCTGGTTATACTCACCTCATGCAGACCTGGTTTTACCCATCTCATGCAGACCTGGTTTTACCCATCTCATGCAGACCTGGTTAAACTCATCTCATGCAGACCTGGTTAAACTCATCTCATGCAGACCTGGTTTTACTCATCTCATGCAGACCTGGTTAAACTCATCTCATGCAGACCTGGTTATACTCATCTCATGCAGACCTGGTTATACTCATCTCATGCAGACCAGGTTATACTCATCTCATGCAGACCTGGTTATACTCATCTCGTACAGACCTGGTTATACTCATCTCATGCAGACCTGGTTATACTCATCTCGTACAGACCTGGTTATACTCATCTCATGCAGACCCGGTTATCTCATGCAGACCTGGTTATACTCACCTCATGCAGACCTGGTTATACTTATCTCATGCCGACCTGGTTATACTCATCTTGTAAAGACCTGGTTATACTCATCTTGGGGCCATACCAAAAGAGAGCATGCTGGACAGTTAAGGCAAGGCCAGACTAAGAGAGAGCATGCTGGACAGTTAAGGCAAGGCCAGACTAAGAGAGAGCCTGCTGGACAGTTGAGGCAGGGCCAGACCAAGAGAGAGCCTGCTGGACAGTTGGGGCAGGGCCAGACCAAGAGAGAGCCTGCTGGACAGTTAAGGCAAGGCCAGACCAAGAGAGAGCCTGCTGGACAGTTGAGGCAGGGCCAGACTAAGAGAGAGCCTGCTGGACAGTTAAGGCAGGGCCAGACCAAGAGAGAGCATGCTGGACAGTTAAGGCAGGGCCAGACTAAGAGAGAGCATGCTGAACAGTTGAGGCAAGGCCAGACTAAGAGAGAGCATGCTGGACAGTTGAGGCAGGGCCAGACCAAGAGAGAGCCTGCTGGACAGTTGAGGCAGGGCCAGACCAAGAGAGAGCCTGCTGGACATGTCTTAAAGAAAAAAAAAAACACTTGACATCTTAGAACATCCTTAAAGAAATGATCAACTTATGCCAGGCATCTTGATGTCACTGGGGGAGGAGGAGAAGAAGAAGAGGAAAGCAATTTGATGCAAAAAATGTGCTTCATGAAACAGTGAATGACCTAGAGATGATTGCTGTGCACTAATAGAACCTGTGTCTTTCCTATAACCACAGCTGTTGATGTGAAGACGGGAGAACTGTTCCGTGCAACATTCCCTGACAAAGGCCCAGACCTCTTCTTGAGAAGTGCAAGACATTTTACGGGTGGGAAAGAGGTAAGCATGTCTGGGTGTGTGTCTGATTCACGATGAACAGTGGTTGATTTAAGGAATCTTTAATAACACTATCATCATATGTGGGTGTGTATCTGGTCTATGATGAGCAGTGGTTGATTGATGGAATCTTTAGATGACACTATCATCATGTGTTGGTGTGTGTCTGATTCATAGTGAGCAGTGGTTGATTGAAGGGATCTTTAGACAACACTATCATCATGTGTGGGTGTGTATCTGGTCCATGATGAGCAGTGGTTGATTGAAGGGATCTTTAGACAACACTATCATCATGTGTTGGTGTGTAACTGGTCCATAATGAGCAGTAGTTGATTGAAGTGATCTTTAGAAAACACTATCATCCTGTGTTATTGCTGCTAGATGCTGTAGTTGTTTATGTCTCTCCACTGATGAGATACCCAATATATTCTCCAAAAATTACAAGTCTAGCAAACAGAGATAGCTACTTGCTAACAGAAGATATGATGGAAGGAAAAATAGCAGGCAAGCATGCAATTACAATTAGGCTGAAACCATACATGAGGGTATATATATATATAGACTAGAAGTAGCTGTGTTTGTGCTTTTTCAGACATTGGTGTGGCGAGCTGTAGTTGTTGTCCAAGTACCACCTGTGTTGGGAGTTGCAGAAGTGTAGTGGCTAGATACTCACCTATTGGACCAGAGGTCTAGGGTTCAAATCTGCGTTGAAGCAGAGACTTGTTTGTTTGTTTTAAAATTGACCTTGGCTGCCAGGTCTACCCAGCCTATAATGGGAACCAAGCAAGGTTTTGGGAAGTAAACACAGCATTACTCACTGGCCAGTTGATCTTTACAAATATAAATCTAGCATCATATACCTGATAAGGGTCCTTCGCTTGTTTTACACTGTCAGGTGTGTCGTAATAGCAAATGTGATCCAGTCATGAAGTATTTTCTTTGTAATAACAAATGAGAACACCATACACAGATGTCACTTTAAGTTCCATAGATCAATGGTGAAAACACCATAGACAGTAATGTCACCTGATGTTCTGTAGACAAATGATGAAAACACTATAGACAGATCTATATGTAAACTTAAAAGGACTGAAAAGTATGGGTGTACATGTTTGTATTTAAATCTGTCCTGTTTGGTGCAGAACATTGTGATTTATGATCCTCACAAGAGTGAGCTAGTGATTGGACCGTTTCACTATGACATCCTACCTGATGTGGATATCTACTTGACTTTGCCAGATCACCTCATAAGAAAGGTAAGTACACATTAACTGACTGATTATCTGCCTCCCGTATTACAGTACATTTATGCTCATCTACCACATTTGAAAAGTAAGTACCTGCTTACTGATTGGTGACTTGTCTAGAATCAGTATTACAGTGCATTTATGCTCAGACTACCCGTAAAGGTTACATTGCACAGTGTTAGATAAGGGGTTGGTAAATATGTCTGTATGTGAAAACACACATTACAGTTGAAAAATCAACAGGGAAAAATGGCCTGTTACTTTTGTAGTGCATTGTTTTTCTGTTACTTCTGTAGTGTATTCTTTTTCTACTTTTGTAGTGGATTATTTTTCTTCTTCTTCATTACAAGTCTATCTGCCTCCATTTATTTCTGTGACTGACTTCTTCCCAGTTTGTGATTACAGGTGTTCTTAGGTCTAAATGCATACTATCTCTTGTGCGTCTTATAGTTCTTCCTCTTTGTCTGCTTATGTTCAACTCTTTTATGAATGCAGTTTGTAACTCTGTAATTTGCCATTCTTTCTGATGCCCTAACCATTGCAGTCTTTTAGGCCAGATGAGTGATGATTTAAACAGTTGTTTAGTGTATTCCAAGGTTACGTGAAGAACAAAACTGGAGATAAAGGGGATGGCCCAGGATCGAACTGAGTGAGACAGTTTGTCTCTGCTTATGTGCTTCTAGGTGCGATGAGGATTGGTTGTAGTATATTCATTGAAAGTCAAAAGTGTTGTTTTAGGACAAGTACAGAAATTTAAATATATAGAAACATGGATAACATCTGACAGAATATATACCACAGAGATAAACATAATTGGACAGGCTAAATCTCCAATTTTATACCACAAATCCATGTCACTGGAGATTAGATTCTTGTATGCTTTATAGAGCCGTTTGTAATATATGGCGGTGAATCCTGAACAATAAACAATGCAAACAGTTTCTGAGAAAGAGTGACAGCACAAACTCTACAGATTGGTTGCCCACTGACAGCACAAACTCTACAGATTGCTGGTTGCCCACTGACAGCACAAACTCTACAGATTGCTGGTTGCCCACTGACAGCACAAACTCTACAGATTGCTGTTTGCCCACTGACAGCACAAACTCTACAGATTGCTGGTTGCCCACTGACAGCACCAACTCTGTAGACTTGTTGCCCTCTGACAGCACCAACTCTACAGATTGCTAGTTGCCCACTGACAGCACAAACTCTACAGATTGCTGGTTGCCCACTGACAGCACAAACTCTGTAGACTTGTTGCCCTCTGACATCACAAACTCTACAGATTGCTAGTTGCCCACTGACAGCACAAACTCTACAGATTGCTGGTTGCCCACTGACAGCACAAACTCTACAGATTGCTAGTTGCCCACTGACAGCACAAACTCTACAGATTGCTAGTTGCCCACTGACAGCACAAACTCTACAGATTGCTGGTTGCCCACTGACAGCACAAACTCTGTAGATTGCTGGTTGCCCACTGACAGCACAAACTCTACAGATTGCTGGTTGCCCACTGACAGCACAAACTCTACAGATTGCTAGTTGCCCACTGACAGCACAAACTCTACAGATTGCTAGTTGCCCACTGACAGCACAAACTCTACAGATTGCTGGTTGCCCACTGACAGCACAAACTCTGTAGATTGCTGGTTGCCCACTGACAGCACAAACTCTACAGATTGCTAGTTGCCCACTGACAGCACAAACTCTACAGATTGCTAGTTGCCCACTGACAGCACAAACTCTACAGATTGCTGGTTGCCCACTGACTGCACAAACTCTACAGATTGGTTGCCCACTGACAGCACAAACTCTACAGATTACTAGTTGCCTACTGACAGCACAAACTCTGTAGATTGCTGGTTGCCCACTGACAGCACAAACTCTGTAGATTGCTAGTTGCCCACTGACAGCACAAACTCTGTAGACTTGTTGCCCTCTGACAGCACCAACTCTACAGATTGGTTGCCCACTGACAGCACAAACTCTACAGATTGGTTGCCCACTGACAGCACCAACTCTACAGATTGGTTGCCCACTGACAGCACAAACTCTACAGATTGCTGGTTGCCCACTGACAGCACCAACTCTGCAGACTTGTTGCCACCTGACAGCACCAACTCTACAGATTGGTTGCCCACTGACAGCACAAACTCTACAGATTGGTTGCCCACTGACAGCACCAACTCTACAGATTGGTTGCCCACTGACAGCACAAACTCTACAGATTGCTAGTTGCCCACTGGCAGCACAAACTCTACAGATTGCTAGTTGCCTACTGACAGCACTAACTCTACAGATTGCTGGTTGCCCACTGACAGCACAAACTCTACAGATTGCTGGTTGCCCACTGACAGCACAAACTCTACAGATTGGTTGCCCACTGACAGCACAAACTCTACAGATTTCTTGCCATACTGACAGCACAAACTCTGTAGATTGCTGGTTGCCCACTGACAGCACCAACTCTACAGATTTCTTGCCATACTGACAGCACAAACTCTGTAGAGTGCTGGTTGCCCATTGACAGCACAAACTCTACAGATTGCTGTTTGCCCACTGACAGCACAAACTCTACAGATTGCTAGTTGCCCACTGACAGCATCAACTCTGCAGATTGCTTCCAGTAGTATTTATCATTCACAACAAGAATATGATTTTCTCAATTCTTTGTGTATTTCCACTAGTATTTTTTATCCTGATAATTTTCACCAGTATTTATCACCTGTTAAATAACATGATTTTCTCTTCTGTGTGTATTGATATTAGTATTTATCAACATCTCCTGAACAAGAACCAGATGGATTTGAAGACAGCATACGAGCAGCTCTCATCCAAATTAGAGACTTCCCAGACCCTATCAAGTCTGTGTTCAACGGAGGGAAACCAAGGAAGTACAGAAAAGATATCTCAGGCATGTGGATCATGGTTGAATGAAAAGTGTTTTTAATTCAAAGTACTTTTTTTAAAATATGTGCTGTCTTTCTACATTTGATGCTGACAGTAAACATGAAGATGGTCTAAATGAGATTGTTTTATCTTTAAACAGTTGTTGGATAAAATTATTGTGTAGCATGATTGTTTTATCTTTAAACAGTTGTCTGATAAAATTATTGTGTAGCATGATTGTTTTATCTTTAAACAGTTGTTGGATAAAACTATTGTGTAGCATGATTGTTTTATCTTTAAACAGTTCACACAAACTGTCATGTTTTATTACATTTCACTGTAAAATGATGCATGACGAACTAGATATTGCAGCTGCTCTTTGATAGTAATTATACCGTGCAGTGGCACGGTATAGTTTATAAGTCTAAAGAGAATAGTACAATACTTATCAGGGATTCAGTGAGTCTACTCTTTTTCTTCCAGAATAGGGTCCAGAAACCCACATGGGGAAGGCAGGTGGTGTGACATTCACTGCTTCACCCATTGCCTGCTAACTGGTCTATACAATTATGAAATTAGCAACAAATGTCTGATACACTTGAGGCTTACAAAGGATCATTGAAAACTTACTGTCATTGCAGTCCACAGAAAGTTTGTAATAGAGATCAGTCAAATAATTTTAGTTCAAACTAGTCAAATGTAAAGGTCACAAAGTTGATGTCTGGCTTGGGAGTTGTGAACATGATTTGCAATTCTGAGTTACCCATTTCAGTTCAGCTATATGCAAATCAGCAGCAGACCACTTAGCTAGATTTTGACAATGGTATTGGTGCTGACCTTTCAATACAATGCAGTGGCTGGCTTCTTTTTCTTTTTCTCTTCCACCTTGAACCTCAGCGAAGTGTCGGGGGGAGATGTAACATATGTTGATGAGCTTTGTCAAGAGCACTATTAAGATTGATGTTCATTTCTGTACGGCTGTTCTTAATGCCATCACTACACATTTTCCGAGTGTGGCGTTACGTCCCACTCCCTTGGAAATTACAACACTTTCAGTGTGACGTCCCGGGTTGTGGGTTCTCTGGATTTGGGTTTAAATGATTTATATGTTGAGTAGGAATTTTCCTCTCAACACATCCCCTCCACCAGGTTAACTGAACTAATATCCGGGCTATGTTGCTCTCAGACAAAGTTCTGGATATCCAAGAAAACAGCCATATTGGCTCGTTATTTATATTTAACTTTAGCTGAACTTGGTACCCACAAGAGAAGGAAATGGGTTTTAGATGTCTATATATTATTAACTTGAATTATTTACTAGACAGGGCAGTTGACCCAATCCGTCGACCTTCTCTTGGTACAGAATTATTATTATTATTTAATGAGCCCCCACCAAATGCTATTTTATCTTAACATTTTAATTAAACATGTAAGAACAGACACACTTGGAATTATAAAAACTGATGCAGGATAAGACCATATAATTGATTTATTAACCTAGCAATCATTTTAGTTCTTTATATTTTTAGTCAATAGTGATGGTATGGTGGTAATGGGATACTTCAGCTTGATAACTGAGCACCTAAGATTAGAATGAAGTGATAATGGTGGTGTTTAGTTACAGAAATACAAGATACGTAACTTTTGTTGTTTTAGAAAAGTGGAGCTTCTGAGAGCCCTCGTGTTGAGTCCCTTCTTAGCTGTTCCCACTTTTCCGCCCAGTTCTCCTGGTCCTTCCACCTGGTTCCTGGTTCCCAGCTGGCCGAGTTCTAACACAATGTAGTCTCGTGACCGTGATGACCCTCTATTTCTGTTCTTAGAAACGACTGATCCTCACCCACATGGGAGCTGTAATAATGGGAACAAACACATACGTGTAGTATCTTGACTTACACTAAGAATACATGTGTCAATTAATACAATATATAATAATACAGTAAATCTCATCACTCCTCCTCATATTCCACATTATCTCCAGTCTATTCTGAAGGTCTTTGTGTCTCACAATCGACGTCTCACATATCCTGCCTTCCCTCTAAGGTTCTGTCATGATAGTTGACTTTCTGTTGTCCGTCATCACTCAGACTTCCAACTTGCTGACATTGATTTGACATGAACATGTGGCGCAGGTTATGTGCTGAACACGCCAAACATTTTATACGAGCATGCTGTCCTGAATATTATCTTTCAGTGACAGTGAATAATATACACTCATGATTCTTCCCCTGGGGTTATAAATCCCCTGTTTAGGTGAACACATTAGGTGAGCACATGGTGGGCACACAAAATGTAACAGCATGGCTGCATATGTGGGCATAATTTCCCACAGTCCAAACTCATGTTTTGGTTGATGGTTGAAACATTATAATTTCATTACATTTCATTATACAAGTCTTATTTTATAAACATGAAAACATACACTGAAAAACATGTGCCACAAACATACAAGAAATAGAAATAGTTTAGCAGTTCCCTAACTGAGATACTGAATACTCACAAAGAACTATTTCAAGCAGAATGTGTAGACAAATTAGGAAAAGGTAGAATAGATTTTAGCTAAATCCCTAACCTATGTATACAAGATTGAAAATAATTGTACAAGCTTACCTGGAAACTTCCAGCAATCGCCAAACTAGAATCAAACCATTAGAATTACCTCTAAGGTCGACCTGTTTGTTGCCTGTCGCAGCGATTATGACAGAAATTCCAGGGCTAGTCTTATTAATACCCCTATCTGTCTGCAAGGTTAAACTCCACCCTCTACTCGGTTCTACCCAACCCTAAAGGAGATGACTTAAGCCCCGCCTCTGAGGTACCTATTAGATCAACCTAGCTATCAAGGGGCCTGTCACTCACAGTGAACGGCCTACAGTACGACCTTGACCAAGATTAAACATTCCTAATTGCCAAACATCTGTTCTCTTGAGAATTTCACTATCATGTGTGAAAACTTCAGACACTGGACGCCGGCCTGTCTAGAAATGTCTACCTGACCACTTAATTCCCCTGATCTATCCTGTTCAAAAGGAGCCCCTCAGTCTGTGTTATGTAACTTTTTATGACACTAAAGTCGGGTTTCAGGGGAGCTAATCAGGTGTGATATGAAGTTATCTCCCCCTTTACTTGCCTCTACAGACTGGGCAGGAGATAAAATTTATGACATAGACAGAGAAACTCTAGCTACAGTAGTATTAGGTAACATTACATAAAGCAAGGTTGCTTTGTCTGGCTAAGACGGGAAACACAGTTTAAACAATTCTCAAATCCCTTGTAGTGGTTTTAGAACTATTTTAGGCTCAGTGTCTATTGCTTTTAATTCTTTGTCCTTCTCTGAACATAAGAAATTATTAAACACAATATAACTTCTGAGACCACTGAGGTCATTTCGTCACACCGAGGTATACCCGTTGTAACGTTTTAGTGTGGCAGATACTACCAGGCCATTCTTGTTAGGTGTCCAAACCACTTCATTTGTTGTTCTTTGATGACCTGTAAGATTGGCAAACTACAGAATATAAAATTGCCTAGGGTAATTACAGTCAGTCAACAAATGTTGGGGTTGTATTGCAAATCCTGTGACGGATATGCAGCTGACTTTATGGCCCACAAAATCCTCATAAGCACCAGCATTGTTCATTATTGTTGAATCAAAGTTTTCTTTATTTGCCTGTCAGCACGGAGGTCTTGGATTGGAATCTCGCATGGAGGTCTTGGATTGGAATCTTGCATGGGGGTCATGGATTGGAATCTCGCATGGAGGTCTTGGATTGGAATCTCGCACGGAGGTCTTGGATTGGAATCTCGCACGGAGGTCTTGGATTGGAATCTCGCACGGAGGTCTTGGATTGGAATCTCGCATGGAGGTCTTGGATTGGAATCTCGCATGGAGGTCTTGGATTGGAATCTCGCATGGAGGGCTTGGATTGGAATCTCGCATGGAGGTTGTGGATTGGAATCTCGCATGGAGGTTGTGGATTGGAATCTCCACTGGAATGGATTTTTTTATGAGCTGACATTGGCTTCCAGGTTGACCCAGTCTAGATTGGAAAACATGAAATGTCCTGGGAAGTAAAAGCAGATGGCATGATAATGACCACATTACCCACCAAATGCTGATTGGTCTATAAAAAATATAAGTTTAACACCATATATCCGGTCCATAACTGGTGTCTTATTCTGCTTGGATCCTTCTGTCAGAAAACATATCAGGAGGCTGGTAGCCTTTATGAAAGCTATCGTGCAATCCATATCCTCTCGTGTACCATACAGTTGTGTTCATTGTGGTTGGAACAGGCCAGATTTTGTTCTTGTTGTCAGTGTACAGTTGACAGTGTTCGAACACATGCTCAGCATTTTCAGGTGCCACACTGCAGGGACACGTCTCCGTGTTTCCTACACTGAAAAGTTTGAACATATGTTGATAAAGTCTGTTGTGTCCTGTCCTTAGTCTAAATATAATACATTGTCCCTCTGTAAAGAGGCTATGAAGCTGGTCCTTTACTCTACTGTTACATCGTTTTGTTTGGAATATAATCATTGTTTTAGGGACAGCAAAACTCTAAATCTGCTTGTCTGTATCGACATTCTGGTGGCCAATTTCGTCTGACTACAAATCCAGCTTGGGCAATTTTAAGTCAATCATGAACAGAATTAGCAGAGACAAAATTGCTAAGAGATTCCTAGTTGACAGTAATCCAAGTTGTATCTGTTATTATCCAGGTGTGCCTTTGTTTTTTTTTAACTTGGCAGTGCATTGGAACAGATGCAGGCCTTGAGAATATCACGTCACATTGTGTTTCCTTAAAAGGGAGACTCCATAATAAAAGTAAAGCCAGCATTATTGGTTAACACATCCAATCCTCTAAGTACAATGGTTCACTGTCCATGGTGGGATGTTTAGACATGTTCTGATGGTTTTCAGACAGCAGCACGAGAGTGCCACCACAGAAAAGTTTAGGCTCTCACCATGTATTCCTGAAATGAACAGTGGATGGTACACTGCAAACAGTTTCTTTTGCGTAGACAGCACGTTTGTAAAAAAGAATGGTCAACAGAAGCGAAGTCATAATCACCAGGCTTTCTCATAGACACTCCTTTTTTGGTTATCAGAAGTTACCTGACTGCACTCTGAACATGTTAATCAGTGTCCTGTTCCCTCCATAGACATCCAGGTGTATGTTACCTCTCCCTAAGTTACCAAATTCTCTAGTTGAATACACATCTAACATGATCTTACAGCTGACCTGTAGCACTAGTTCAGAGTCATATTGTCTACTCCATCAGTCTGTACATTGCTCTCCTATTGAATACTCTCATTAATCAGCAATCAGCTCCATATCAATATATTAAAGATTTGTCCATGTGAAAATTGCCCTGCTAGGATGCTTTCAATGCAAATCGGTCTGCTCTTTCAGGGCGAGTGTTTATCACATGTTCTAGAGAATACAGCCTTGAAGATTCTGTAGATGTCTTTGAAACACATCTGTGCAAATGTTGCTGTTCCTACCATATCAGTGATCTCTGGTATCATCACTACTCAATGTTGCTTTTCTAGTTGCACTGATAGCTCTTACCAACATCCTCACACATGATCCTTCTCTCTTGTGCCTTAGTGACCCGATATGATAAATGCATTGTTGTGAATATGCTTTTAATCAGTTGTCTTTTTGGTCTACATGTTGATTCTCAGAGAGCATTTGAGAGATAAAGAACATGAGAATTGACAGTATCTCTCAACTATTCTTTAATTTGTTTCTGGCATCCTCCAAACCCACACAATACTGCTGAAAACCACTGCTGTAATTGATAGATCTTGGTTAAATTTATATTGTAAACATATACCATATAAAATGTGTTGATAGTTTTTTTTAAATACTTATGAACTTGTTCAGTACTGCACACCGGTTACTTTAATTAGTTATTTCTGAAATTTTACCATGTTTCTTTCTGAGAAGTCATTACTTAAATGTTTTGGTCTGAGGAATTAAGATAACACCATGTAGCAGTTCAAATATCAACTTGTAAAGAATGGATTAAATGGTACACTGGCCTGTCATTCAGGAGATAAGAGGTTCAAATCCTGGTAATGGGGATTTTCCTGTCAGTGGCAGAAATAAAACCCTAACCTGGACAGTTCTTGTTGGCTGCACTAGCCAGATAAGAGGACACAAATAGCTGTTTATTGCTCTTCCTATGTGCCAGTCCTGACCTACAGGTGTGAGTCATGGGCAATGACAACAGCTCACAGAAGCCAGCTTCAGGCCTCAGAAATGTGATATCTAAGAAAGGTTTTCCAAATGACAAGGGGACAAAGTTGGCAATCAGACCAAATCATTAAGATCTTGAAACCCAGTCCTTACAGCAACAAAAAGTGGTTACGATGGTTTAGAAATGTATACAGAATGGGAGTAAATTAGCCACAGTGGGAGGCTAAGAGCCAGGGATCCAGACATGCAGGGTGACCCAGGATCTGCTGGGAAGACAACATCCGACAGTTACTGAGGACAGGAATGGAACAAAGCCAGAAAGAAAACGGCCAACAGAGAATAGCAAACCTTGGCGCTCCTTTAACTTGTTCCCCAAAATGGCGGCTTTAATATGATGGCGTTCGAAAGAGAGCTAAATTGGCCAATTTCTTGCCATTAAATATCCAAAAATATCAGAATGCGGGTCAGTTCTATTAAAAATATATGTGCCGGCTCTGTATAACGAAACAAATGCTCTGACAGGGTCTCGGCGTTACGGTGCTTGCCGACCTGCTTCTGCGAGTGTGCCTCACCGCCGAGCGTATCCCCCGAGCCGCTACGCGCGGCGCGGATGAGGGCTAAACTAGATGGCTGGGACTCACGAGTGGCAGCTACCGCATCTCCTGCAACTTCCTCCAGTTACTGTACTCGTGAGTCCCAGGCACCTAGATACGCTCGGCGATGAGTTTAATTGCGTTTGGCGCATGCCGACAAGTCTGACATCTACCGCTGCTAAATCCTCCAATCGGAAGAACACAGTATTGCTAATTGCTTTCATCGTCTGTAATGTCTCGAAATTGGTCAACGGTCGCTAATATCGTCTGCTAGTATCGTCGTCTGCAGAAACGCTCGAAATTTTTGTCAACGGTCGGTATTTATTGTCTGCTACTAGTACCGTGTGCAATGTTGATAGTGACTGTCACGTAATCCTAGTGTTGCCGCGATTATTTGTCCCTTGGCAGACAGTCCGTATTTTAGATATACGGGAACACCGTCATTCGGATATTTTTGGATATTTTATGGCCAACATGTGGCATGCCGCCATTTTGGGGAACAAGTCAAAGGAGTGCCCAAACCTCTACACCCCAAGATAGAAGAGGAACAACTAAGTAAGTAAATAAGTCCACAATCCAAGCTGAGCCGCTTTATATCCTCAAGCTCCGCCATTTTTCTTCTGTAAACACAGACAGTGAATTGGTGTCACTGCTGTCTGGGTCACAAGAAGTTTGCAAAAGAATGTTGTATCAGCTGAAACCAGCAAATACATGTAGGAGTTCATGCCAATAACCGAGATGAACCGATGTTTTCTGCTGCTGTAATATTGTGGTGTCTTCATACTTCCAATATGTAATGCTGGTAAAGAGTCTTTTTAATACACATTGTATATTTTTTGGGGAGAACTGGCGAGAGACCGAGTTTCTTTCAGGTAGACTGTGATGAGAGCGACGTTCTGCAAAAAACCTACTACGTGATGATGAGTATATTTTGTAGCACATAGTCTTAGACCTGCATTTTTTAGACCAATTAGTGCACAACAGTTGATGCTGTCTGCCTTTACTTGCCATTTTAGGCTAGGTCGACCTGGGAGCCAATGTCAATTTTTCGAACCATCTGAAACTATACTGATCTGAACCCTAGACCTTTGGGCTGACAAGTGTTGTGCTACTACAGATTCCAATATGTAATGCTAGTTCATATTTTCAGGTAATCTGGATGGATACTCTGTGCAACATATGTTATTATTAGATGTTATTTTTTAACAAATTATTGCCAAACTGCACTTGCAGACTAATATAAATTGTAAAATTTTAATAGTTTTTGTTATTTCCCAGCGATAGTTTTTACTTGCAACAAACTGGTAATTATTTTTACTGTAAATTCTTCAAATTATTAGGGATTACTTGTAACAGAGTAACTTTGTTACTTGAAATTGATTTGTATTATGTGTAACATATTGCTAGTTTTTATTTGTATATTGTCTCAATTTAATATAAATTACTTGCAACATAACCTGCTTTTAATTGTTGTTTTATGTGTACAAATTTGCTGTCGGAGAGAGAGAGATATTGGGGGGGGGGGGGGGGGGGTAGAGACATTCTGTGTGGTTTTTCACTGACACAGGAATGGAGCAATTATGGGGTGGTCAGTCTGCGATGAAATTGGAACCCTTAAAGTTTAAATCATTATTTAATTTAAAAAACACCATATTGACAATTATTTAAAAAAAAAAACACACCTGAAGCAGATAAAACTTCACTGTAAATGGTGCAGTGATACTAGGCAGTGATATCTCAGTCCAACTAATCTGATTTCACCCAACCCTCAGTTAGCTGTCTTTTAGACTTGTTAGCAGAAGCATATCAAACCCCCTCCCCCCAAATGGGGCCATAGGACCTACACAGTGTTACAGGTGTCATTCATACGAACACAAACATCAGATATAGAAGTTCAGAAGAGAGCAGCAACCAAAAAAAAAAAAAGGTTTTTGAAAGGAACTGTCAAGTACAATTCTTTTTTTTTATAATGTTGAAAAATATGTCCATAAAAACTACTAGAGCGAAACTTTGAAGGCAAAGCAAACACCAGGTAGACAACACAGGGCAGCATCAAGATATGGATGAACAACAGTCTAAGAGTGTACAACCTGGGCAAGAGATGCAGCATTAAGATATGGATGAACAACAGTCTAAGAGTTCACAACCTGGGCAAGAGATGCAGCATCAAGATATGGATGAACAACAGTCTAAGAGTTCACAACCTGGGCAAGAGATGCAGCATCAGAAATATACTGCAGCCAGCTTTCACTGAAGAGGCGGCACCTTAATCAATTTCAATGCAATTGTCAGTTGATGGGGGGGGGGGGGGGGAAGCAATTCTATAAATTATTTGAGTATGCTGTTTATCCCAACCAGTAATTCCTCCCTGACAAGTCACACACTCACAAATGGTCAAAATTCTTCTAGTCTTCAGGTACCATACTGAATACTTTGAGAAAGCAACAGTTAACCCGAGGTCGGTGACATCAACATAGAGATTGTGCTGCAATGCAGCTGTTGATGTACACCAGGTTATTCTCTATTGCAAATACTGTCTACTCTTTCAGCACATGTTTAGCTGTCACTTCACCATACCAGTAACATTTGCCAGTATTTCTTGTTACTTGATTTACCATGATGATAGTGACTTGCACAATCTTTCTAATAGCTGGATACTCTGGATTCTCAGTCAATTTCACGGTTTTTCTTAAAAACCTCTTGTGCGTTTCCCATCTTTATTTGTCAGCCTGTCAGCATTTTCATCTCAGACATGCTACAGGTTAGTGTTGGTATCTCCTACGCTCTGTGTGAGAAGATCTTGAACAATGTTGTTTGGCTAAAAGATGGAAAAATCTATGCTCATCTCACAGAGAAAGGAAATGAAAATGTGTGCAACAACTACTATACTACTGAATAATACATCATCAAGTTAGCAAATTCCTCTTGAAATATCTCAAACTCTAACTTGCTGTATTGTCACCAAACACCTAAAACTTGAATTCCTTGCACATATCTGCCAGGAGATATCTCAAATATGAACTTATTGGATGCTATCAGATATTTGCCATCAAAAATCCAAAACACGAACTAACAACTGTTCAACAAAATACAATGCAAAGATAGGTCAACCGTTCTTGAAGCCTGGTGACATTCCATATTGTAAGACATTGCTAGGGCTCTTGCCGACTGACAAGCTGATATCACAGGCTGCTAGGTTCATATCTTCCTCATCACTAGGCAAAAAGTCATCTTCATCCTGAAACCATCAACAGTAAATTGTGAGTGGCTGATATCAAACAGTGAATTGTCAATGGATGACCACCAAACAGTGAATTGTCAATGGGTGACCACTAAACAGTGAACTGTCAATGGGTGACCATTGAACAGTTAACTTTCAATGGATGAATATCAAACAGTAAATTTTCAATAGATGACCATCAAACAGTGAATTGTCAATGGATGACCATCAAACAGTGAATGTCTGTTTTGTGGAGTTCGCTGGACAACAGAATCGTTAAAACTAATAAAGTCTCACAATAGATGGTAGAGACGTCAACAGAGAGAGCAAACTGAAGTATCTGGGAATTACATTTCACAGGAGCCTGTCATTTAAGGACCATGTGGAGAGTGTTGTTACGAGATGTCAAAAAGGACTTAGTGCACTTAAGACTATGGCTGCAATTGACATAGAACAGAGAATGCTTTTCACACTATATCAGCACCTGATCCTGTCAGTGGTGGATAAAAGGCCTGGGACTGCTTACTGTCTCAAAGAGTCAGATGAACAAACTAGAGCGCATTCAGAACGAGGCTATGCGGGTCATTCTGGGTTGCACCAGAGACACCCCAGTGGTGTGTATGCGATACATCCTTGGTTTACCGACGGTTGCAGGTAGGCACAAGGTGCTGCAGGCGAAGTCATTTCTCAGGGTAGCTGCAGACACAGACCACCCCCTGCATGAAGCTCTGGGTGCAGTTAAGGGTCAGCGGCTGATAAGAGAGAGGTCATGGATGGCTTAGGCAGAAGACACAATCAGACAGGTTTGCATCCTTTAGAACATTAGGCGAGGAGAGGAGAGGGTTAAAGTGCCACCTGAGCAGTCAGACTTGTGTAGAGTCATAATCACACTGAGCCGGGAATGCAGAGACTGACCATCAGGTGCCACAGAGGTGGAAATTCAGCAATTAATTCAAGATAATGCTCGCTCAGAGGATCTGATCATTTACACAGACGATTCATCAAACCATCAAACAGTAAGCTGTCAGTGGGTGACCATCAAACAGTAAACTGTTTGTGGATGCCCATAAACAGTGAATTGTCAATGGGTGACCATCAAACAGTAAGCTGTCAATGGGTGACCATCAAATAGTAAACTGTCAGTGGATGATCATTAAACAGTGAATTGTCAATGGATGACCATTAAACAGTGAATTGTCAATGGGTGACCATCAAACAGTGACTGCCTGACTGTTTGAAACACTTAATGCCAAACTCATTGAATTGAAAATGTTTTCTTACTGTGGTTTTTAAAAATGAGGACATAAATGAAATATTGTACAATTCGTTGATTGACATATTTTGTAAGATGTATGTGATAGAACTTACATCAACATATATGTAGCACAAAAATAAATCCTTCATACACAAATTACAGTCAACTTTTACACTGTAAATATCACCATACTTCCAAATTATAATTATTAAACTGAACAAAATTACAGCAGGTAAGTTAAGTATCAGCCATTTCTAATGCCACTGACATATCACTCATATTTATATAGACAAATCCACCGGCCAATATAGTGCATCATCGACTTTATTATTTTTAGTTGTAGCAAGTTTTTGCTTCTGACAATAGTTAGCCATTATCCTCCATATGCTGACTTAAAGGATATAGTTTCTTTGCCCAGTACTGAGCTGAGTGAATGACATGACACTTTGAACTGTGGATTTCATTTGAAATGCTTTGTGACTGTGCCCAACGTGGTTTGTGTGGTCAATTGCAGATTCAGAAAATGGCAAGCGGCTTGTTGCCAGAAATATGGTGGTTAAGCTACTAATTTATTTACGTTGTAACTGCTGCTTCGATTGACGACGAACTGCATTTCTAGTACTGGATTATTTGTGTTAGCACTTCTAAAGGCTACCTTTTGTTTTTAATGCATGTGTATGCTATTGGTTTTGTTGGGACTGCTGTTTTGTATAAATGTTTCACAACGGACAGCGGCATTCTGTGTGGTTTTCACTGGCAGAGGAATATGGGAAGACCTGTCTGCTATGAAGGTGGAACTGTGACTATCTGATTAATTTGCATTCAATTGTGCCTTTACTTCCAAACACATTTTATGGTACAAAATGCACTTTTCGCTGACCTGAAGGCTAAGGCCAAGATCACTTATGTAAAATGGAAACTGACCCAGTCTTCATTTTAATTTGAGACCTAGCTACTGCACTGCCGCACACACACCCCCCCCCCCCCCCCCACTAGGAAGGTAAAGTGCAACTGCAGCCAAGTAACTTAGGAAACTTACCTCATCAACAGCGTCGTCATCTTCTCCAGGCAAACTGCCATGAAACTCTTTATACAATGGCCTAATGTGTGAGCACGACCTGTTTACAAATAACCAGTTCAAATTATGAACAGTTGAAGAATAAACACAAATACTGGGAGAACTTGGGGGAGGGGGGTGGGAAGAAGGGGCAAGTAGTTAGAATGTTCAACCCTCTTTCATAGTTAGAATGTTCAACTCTTTCACAGAATGTTCAACTCTCTTCCATAGTTAGAATGTTCAACTCTCTTTCACAGTTAGAATGTTTAACTCTCTTTCACAGTTAGAATGTTTAACTCTCTTTCACAGTTAGAATGTTCAACTCTCTTTCACAGTTAGAATGTTCAACTCTCTTTCACAGTTAGAATGTTCAACTCTCTTTCACAGTTAGAATGTTTAACTCTCTTTCACAGTTAGAATGTTCAACTCTCTTTCACAGTTAGAATGTTTAACTCTCTTTCACAGTTAGAATGTTCAACTCTCAGGAGATTTAGGTGTGATTCACTAGTAAATATAAAAATTTTAACATGCAGTTATATGGCGACTGCACAAGTCTGACATCCATCTGCCCTACATTGCACTAAAAATTTGTCAGTGTCGCTCATTTCAGTTGTCTCTTCAAATGATCTTGGGGCAGGTGGACAGTAGCCTGAGTTAAGCTGAGCTGAGTTTCAAGAGCCAACATCACAGCACTGCCTTAGTGCAACAAAGCCTCTTGTATGATATCACAACATCTAATGTGAAAATAGAGGTGGAGGCAGTCACTACAGCCTTCTCTTGGCGCATGTGTATTCACATGTATCACTGCTAATTACTGGGCTAACAGACTGCAATGTTGAGTCATGCAGATAGAATGCCAAATAACAAAGAGTCAAAAACTGCATTAGAATGGGAATAGACCACAGGACAAATCCAGAAGATGGTGGAGAGATATACAGGTACACCTATAAACACCTGGAGTCCCCAACTGGAAAGAGAAGGCCAATCACAGAAATAAATGCTGGTGGGTGAAATCTGCAGCAATGAGCCTCAAGGGCTTTGCTTCTATACACTACTTTTTTTGTTCCATGTAAAGGACCTTCAACCTTTTTTCCACGCCTTCAGTTGTATTGGGCATCAAAGAACTATATTTTATAGACCTATCGAAACAGTGGATGATGTAGGACAACATAACACCAGCCCCCTTTATGACACAGGAAGTACTTTTTACGTGGTACCAACCTGACAGCCAAGGTAATTGTATGTCTCATGACAGTGCATATATATATATATACAAACAAAAAGCAATCTCACCTTGGGAGTAGATAAGGATCAAAAGGAAAATAAGATTGCAGCTGTGTCTGCCTGGAACCCTCAGTGCTGTATGTGGAGGCAGCGACAGGGAGGTGGTACCGGTTGTTCCTCTCTATGACTGTATCACAGAAAGCCAGCTGGTGTAGTCTGCAATATTCAGAGACAAAACGTTCATGAACAATCAACAAATATGAGAACAATAAAGGTCTTTAATTGTGTGTCTCAAATACTTGATCCTGAGCATATAATATATGTGGTCCAACATCACAATGACACAGAAAAGATACGAGTAAGAAGAAAAAGACACTTTGAAAATGCCGCGAATAAATTATCAAAACAAAGTTTTAATGATATTCATCTATATTCTTCTCTCTTTCATTTTTAAGAATAGTTCAAGAAACTTAGATTTCTCTCTCTCTCTCTTCAACATTGTGCATGATGTAACAAGTATGTTTGCATGTTTTATAACCTCTCTATAGATTTCATCCAAGGCATCAAACACAATCCATGAGTAGGCTTTTCCCTTTCATCAGTTTTGCTACGCCACCAAATGACCGAAGCGACGTCCGTTGCTTAGACGTTGTGAGCCTGACTCGTAATTCCAACAGTCCGCAATTAAAACCCACTGGCTACGTGGATCTTTATCATGGTATGGAGCATCGCAGGTCAACCCAGCCTAAAATGGGTACCAGGATGTAAGTCCTGGGGAAGTAAAGATGGCCAATGTAATGCTGACCCCATTACTCACCCAGTGCAGATTGGTCTCTAAAATATGGATGCTCTTCCCATATGCCTGATGCGATGTATAATGCACAAACTCAACAAAACCTTAATCAAGAAGGCTCTGAATATAAACCAACAATAGAATCAGAGGGACGTAATATAACAGAAAATAAATACACTATTTTCAGGAGATCCATTCTAAGTGGGAGACATGGTAGGGTAATCGCCAGCTATTCACCTGCAAGCCCAAAGGACTTGGTTTTAAATCTGAAATTGGCCTCAACTTCCAAATGACCCAGTTAAATGGGTACTAGATAATAACCTGGGAAGTATAAGTAGCCAGAGTGATGTTGACTTTATCACCCACTGAGTGCTGACAGATCTATAATCACATGAGCCTAGCATCATATGTCTAATGCCTCACTGGTGTAAGAATGGTCCCTTACACCCTCTTTAAATTAACCAATTTGACATGAACCTATTTCAGAGTCAGAGGTGGACAGTGAAAGCTGAAACTTCTCAGTCACACTGCCCCTACCCTTCTGTTAGCCCTTTTACAATATTCTTGTAAATTTTTTAAACACTTCATAGAGAACTGTGTTTCACTGTCTGATAGCAGGAGGCTATCAGACAGCAATCTGTTTCACAGAGCAGGAGGCTATCAGACAGCAATCTGTTTCACAGAGCAGGAGGCTATCAGACAGCAATCTGTTTCACAGAGCAGGATGCTATCAGACACAGAGCAAGGAGGCTATCAGACACAGAGCAGGAGGCTATTAGACAGCAATCTGTTTCACAGAGCAGGAGGCTATCAGACAGCAATCTGTTTCACAGAGCAGGAGGCTATCAGACACAGAGCAAGGAGGCTATCAGACAGCAATCTGTTTCACAGAGCAGGAGGCTATCAGACAGCAATCTGTTTCACAGAGCAGGAGGCTATCAGACACAGAGCAGGAGGCTACCAGACAGCAATCTGTTTCACAAAGCAGGAGGCTATCAGACAGCAATCTGTTTCACAGAGCAAGGAGGCTATCAGACACAGAGCAAGGAGGCTATCAGACAGCAATCTGTTTCACAGAGCAGGAGGCTATCAGACAGCAATCTGTTTCACAGAGCAGGAGGCTATCAGACACAGAGCAGGAGGCTATCAGACAGCAATCTGTTTCACAGAGCAGGAGGCTATCAGACAGCAATCTGTTTCACAGAGCAGGAGGCTATCAGACAGCAATCTGTTTCACAGAGCAGGAGGCTATCAGACAGCAATCTGTTTCACAGAGCAGGAGGCTATCAGACAGCAATCTGTTTCACAGAGCAGGATGCTATCAGACACAGAGCAAGGAGGCTATCAGACACAGAGCAGGAGGATATCAGACAGCAATCTGTTTCACAGAGCAGGAGTCTATCAGACAGCAATCTGTTTCACAGAGCAGGAGGCTATCAGACAGCAATCTGTTTCACAGAGCAGGAGGCTATCAGACAGCAATCTGTTTCACAGAGCTGGAGGCTTTCAGAAAGCAATCTTTTTCACAGAGCAGGAGGCTATCAGACAACAATCTGTTTCACAGAGCAAGGAGGCTATCAGACAGTAATCTGTTTCACAGAACAAGGAGGTTATCAGACAGCAATCTGTTTCACAGAGCTGGAGGCTTTCAGACAGCAATCCTTTTCACAGAACTGGAGGCTTTCAGACAGCAATCCTTTTCACAGAGCAGGAGCTTAACAGACAGCAATCTGTTTCACGGAGCAAGGAGGCTTTCAGACAGCAATCTGTTTCACAGAGCAGGAGCTTATCAGACATCAATCACTCATCCACAGGCAACGAATATCCTACCTGGCAGCCGAGGCGAAGGTGCTAACTATGATGGGCATGCACACACGCAATGGGTTTAATTTACTGGTGACAATCCGCTGCAAATTCAAGGACTCTGCCCATCTGTAACCTGTGGGCATAATGAAATAAGGAAAAGTAATGCACCATGAATAATGGAAAGAAAAAAGAACAATGGTCTAAAGAAAGAGCCAATCCTAGTCAACACAACTATGTAACAAAAATCAAGCATTACAATCAAACCTGACATACAATGCAACAGTCATAATACAACAGAATTGTCACATATTGGATCAATCATAATATACAATGCAACAGTCACAATACACCACAAAATTGTCACAACCTGGATCAATCATAACATGCAATACACAATAAAACAGTCCTATCACACAATGAAACAATCAAAGAGCTATGGTTACCAACTAGTTACCTTTCATGCCCATGAAGTCCATATGTTTGAAGCAGAAGATATAAAAGACACTCTGGCAAACAGAGTAAAAGGGTGCATGGTGAGCCAAATCAGCGTGAGCTCCTTGGTCACAGGTTCGGTCAAGGTATGAGTGAATCCACTTGACCATCAACTCCACTACTTGTTTCGCTGTTCTGTTACAAAATGATGAAAAAATACAAGATCAATTAATTTCACGCAAACATTCATTAACACAATCAAAACACGAGCCAACAAAACAAATACCGTCACAATTACTAATTGTGTACTAGCAAATAAAAAATATAAAAAATGAAGAGCAGATAGCATAATTGTTAGAATGCCAGGTCCTCAATGGTGACAACTGTGTTTGAATCCACAGCATGGTTGACATTATTTTGTTGGGGGCAAGAATCCAAATTTTAACTTGCACAATTTGTGGTGATGCAAGCACCTCATTTTGTTTGAAATCCTCAGAACCATCAAGACCATCCTCTCCCCCTTATACTGCCCTAAAAAGTGGTCAGTACAGGTAGTAACCAGTTTCTGTTTTTACATTTCTTCTTTTTCTGTGGTTACTTCAGTGTGTATTTCTGTGTAAGTTGGCTTTATTCTCTAAGGTTATTCTTAATGACAATAGCTCCATCTTTTAGTCTTCTTCTTGCTCCCTGTCTCAATTTTTGTTTTTTTTTCTTTAGATGCTACCAAAGAATTCTTGTCAACAGCCAAACAATTTCATCTGTAGTTCTTTATGGAATTCTCTTTCACTTCTCTTCGCGTCTAAACTTTCTCTTTTTACTGTCTTGGGTATCAATAAAGATGCTACTCTTTCATGCTGAATGTTGATAATAACTCCAATAAGGCTCTGTCCCCATCTTCAGCAGCAAGCAAATAGTTCCAATTCCGATGGCCCCAGTAACTGTTTGATTGTAAATCTGTCTCGCCTTTTCTGATTCTTGCTCCAACACCCTGGACCACTCCTCTACTCACCCACATTTATCAAGCCTGCACACAATTCTAACTTTTCAGCTTGCGTCATTCAAGACCTTTCTCATTTCAATCTGTGACCCTTAGCTCTACCTCAGGCTTCATGCAGGAGGTGCTTCTTTTCTTGTCTGCAGCTACTTTAAGATATGATTTTGCTTGCAGAACTTTGAGCCTATCTGCAATAGTAGGCAGTGCAAGTAAATATCGCATACACACTACCGGGGTATCTCTTGTGCATCCCAGAATAATCCACATGGCTTCATTCTGTGTGTGTTCAAGTTTCATCAGCTGGCTCTTTGATATGGTAAGCATTCCAAGTCCATGATTTATCACCGACAGGATCACATGCTGGAACAAGGGGAATATCATACTTTGTTCCATGTCTATTGCTGCTGTAATCTTAATAGCAAGAGTCCTTTTTTTTTGGCATTTCATTGCACAATAGCATCCATATGATCTCTGAAGGATAGGCTTCTATCAAAAATGATATCCAAGTACCTCAGTTTGCTGTTTCTTGTGATGTTTCTGTCACCAACTATGAAGCTTAGAACATTAGCTCATACAGTTCTATTGTCCAGAGAGCAACACAAAACAGCCATCTTTTCCTAGTTGATGACAGCACCCATCTTTGCACACCAGTTGATGACAGCACCCATCTTTGCACACCAGTTGGTCACTTTGTCTACAGCTGCCTGTAGCTCTTGGGCTGTCTGCTTCCTATCGCACCCTTGCCTAAATGGTACTGTTTGAAATTGCACAGAAATGTGGATATAACCATTTTCACACAATGTGGGAGATATTTTGGTGTGACCCAAAAGAAATAAAGATTTTTTCTGTGATAATTATGATGTCACAGTACACTTATGAATAAATGATTTTACTCTATGTGGTTGTGTCAATAAAAGCTCTTTTTTCTAGGTCAAAGAGAAAGAAAGCAGTTATGTGTTTGCTAGGTTTGTATTTAGTGATTACTTACTGGCTGTACCGAATATTCGCTTCAATTTCGCTTCGGGGCCGAATAGTGGACTTAAAAACTATTCAGTATTCAGCTGAATACTTGCGGTCGGGCCGAATACAAATAGTGGTTGCCTTACACCCGTTTTGTATACACTGCGATGGACTGAAATAACTCTCTCATTAACACAATAGTTGCTGTTGCCTTAGCCTGTTGAAGCGGGTGAAACTGCAACCAGGTTGCGTGGTACAGCAGCTGGCAAGGTCTCTGTCTGCTGACTCGACCGAGGCATTACAGCAGAGGTAGGTTCTCAAACTGGGTGTGTGTTCATAACTTCAAAAAATGTTTTCCGATAGTCTCAAAGAAGTAGACAGTCATCATTTTTCAGCCATGTTATGAGAAGAGGGAAAAGGGAACATATGGTGACCACTGAAAAGATCTACAGAAGGAGGGATGGAGGAAGACAACGAGAGAAGATTCCTGACAGTCTTGTTGCATGGCATGGAGGTGTGTCAGCACACGAGCTAATACATGCTGCAGGAGATTGATACACTATTCGTATTCGGCCAAATAGTTGGTCCCGCTATTCGTATTCGGCCAAAAAATGAAAATCACTATTCGGTACAGCCCTATTACTTACCTTCATACAATATTTTTTTTTAAAATATATGTCTAATGCCCCACTGGTGTAAGAATGGTCCCTTACACCCTCTTTAAATTAACCAATTTGACATGAACATATTTCAGAGTCAGAGGTGGACAGTGAAAGCTGAAACTTCTCAGCCACACTGCCCCTACCTTATTTTAAATTGCCTTTGCGCAAAATATTGACTTTAAATATAAAAAAATCTATCTATTTAGTGACTTGGAGGACTGTGGTGATGCTGGTTACTTTCATGGTGAGATATAATACAGGACTAGACTTATTTCTGTAGAAAGAGTTTGTAGTTCTTCATAATGTGCTGATGTAATTTGTTTGTGCCACATGAAATACAGAAAAATATGTTGGGTAATAAACTGTACAATATCCACATGTCAGCTAAACTGACAAACAACAATGACAGCTAGCAGAAACAGCACTCCAGGCAAGTCTGTCTATTTCTACACTTACTTGACAGATAAATATTTGGACCTGGTGATAAAGCTGCCAATGTAGCAAGCAGCACTTTGCCTATACACACTCTCTGCAGTGGGGTCTGTCACTTTCTTCCACAGGTAGTCAATGAAACCATCTGCTAATACCTGCAATTAAAGAGATCACATCGTAGCACTTTTGTTTACACATAAATATTACATGCATTATCAAGATTTCAGCCCAGAGGCTGGTTGTGAAGCTTACTAATCATTCAACTCTACAGTAGATTGTCTTATTCCTTTTAAATATCCTGCATAAATCTGTGTACACTTGTTTTATATTGTTTTTGGTCTATCTTTTTTTCTCACCCTCAGTTTTGTGCTCTCTGGTACATAGTTTATTGTTTCTCACTGTCCTGAGGTGTGGCCAGATCCTGAGAGTTTTCATTGCTTTAACTCCCAGGGAGTTTAGCATCAGTGGCCCAAGGGGTGGTAATGAAATTTTTTTTAAATTTTACAAATGTAACACATTAAAACAGACCATACTATTTCAATTACAGCGCAACATACACATATTATACATCAAAGTGACCAGAAATTGTTGAGGAATAATTATAAAATACAGCTACAACAAATAATTAAGTAATTAAACATAAGTATATAAATAGACGGTATGTTTACAGAAATTAGTGAAATGAAATATTTAAAAATCCACTTATTACCTAGGCACTCAAGGAAAACTGGTTAAAATATATCCAAAATAAATCACAAATGAATATGAACCACTTAGTAATGTATAAGTAAAATATAAATTCAATCTACACGTTAGATTTTGTTCCAAAGAATCTTTTGAAGCATCATAACAGAGCACCATTATTTGGTAAAGAAAACCGACTCCCAAAACAATAAGTATCTTTACCCAAAAAAAAAAAAAGTTTAAATAACATTCAATTTGCCTGTAATTTTGTAGATTTGCTCCTAAATAATAAGAGGAATAGCACAAGAACTAACTGACACTGAAGAAAATCGTCTTTTCACTAATGTTTATTCTATTTGTGCCAGCTGAATTTGCTATTGTTGTACCTTCGCGTAAGGTACACATTAGACATATCCCTCATCTAAGTTTGACTCTATAAATGACTGAAACACGTCTAATTCGCAATGTTATCTATCTAACTTCAGATAAATTGAATAAACATGTACATTATTTAAATTTTAGGCTTCTAAAGCCATAAACCATGTTGGCATGCATGGAGAATACTGCTTGGCGGCCATATTTTTTGCAAACAAATGCTTAGTAACTCTGCAAATCTTGCAAATATACTATATTTTCGGCTTTCAAACCACGTTTTTAAAAGAGCTCGCCGGATATCAGGTACAAAGAACTCGAAATGAAGTTGAAATTGAGTGGCCCGCGTTATGACCGGTCAGCGGAAAAACCTTCACTTGTCAGGCATCACTGGGCCTGGCAGTTGTAACAAATTAGCTCGTGATGCGTTCCCTGGGACTCACAGAGTTAAGTATTTTATGTTATAATTTCTAGAACTTATTTATCTTCAAGTTCTTTAGTTCATCTGATTCCTACAATTTTGTCACCACCACCAAACTTCAAATGTATCACAGCCAACCTGAAAAAAAGCTCTTTCACATCGTGCCCCTTTCTGCCCAAGGCGTTTTATCCTGTGCTCATCTTCATGTTGGTCGCCCCCTGCCCCTCTTTCCTGGCACCACGCCTCCTGTCATCATTCTTTCCAATCTGCTGTGAGTTTTTTAAATAGCCAAAAGATTTCAGTTTCTGAGATGAAATGTTAATTAGGCAATTTTCCCTGATGTTCAGACCTTTCAGGATGAAAAGCTATTTTTTTAACAAAAATAAAGACAAATACAATTGATTCCCAAGATGACAACACAAGTGAGTGTGAGTCCTGCTTACCTCTCGAAAGCTGCAAACATAGAACATAATGTACTGTACATGACATGAGGCATGTGTGGGCAGAATTAACTTGTTGAACACAGACAGAAGCTCTCTGTACAGTCTCTTTGTCCTGTCCCAGTCCAGTTTTGCTGCAAGCACAACATAAAACATTTCAACATTTACAAGATCATGCCTCAGAAACATCAAGTATCTTGAGGAAGTTTACATGTCAGAAATATGAGATACAAGGATAACATAGTTTTAATTGTAGTCTAAATGGCGTTGGCAAACCAGTTTTTCCTTCAAGGTAGTAAATGACAGCAAGAACAAGATTATCAATAATCATGCAAAAATTAATTACAATGTAGTTTACAAGCAAACACAAAGGCAAAGAACAACAGAGAAAAATGTACAAAGAAAGCTTCAACAGCTCAACATCAAATAATTATATTATTAACATCAAATGCTATAAAATATAAAATAACAGAAAGAGTGAAGAACCATGTGTTGCCAGTGTCTTCTCCAAATCAGATACAAGACAAAAGAGGCAAAGCAGAGGGAAAAGAAATGAAACAATGCAAACAAATTCAATCGAGAACAATGATGGATTCTACACTGGCTCACATATGCAGCAGCAAAGTTAAATCAAATGGAAGGTAAAGGGAACATTTGAATGTTGATACAGCTTCACAAATGCACCTCAAAACCTTCTATCATAAGTAAAGAAGACAATGAAAGCCATCCTGTTTTATAGTGACATCCTTTTTTTTTTGGTCTATGTGTGCTTGTGTGACTTAAATCATAACATTTGCGCTCGCCACAGATTAAATTTAAAAGATTTTGTGTTTCTGCGTGCGTGTGTAAATCACATCACTTTAAATCACAAAACTTGTACTTGCCACATATTAATTAAAAAGAATGTTGTCTGTGCATGTGTGTGTGAATCACATTTCAAATCGGAACACTTGTATTTGACACAGATTAATTTAATCGAATTTTGCCTGTGTGTGTGTGAATCACGTCATTTCAAATCACAATGCTTCTACTTGCCACAGATTTAACTTAAAAGAATTAAATATTAAGATGTACATAAATAAGTGCTCTTTAACCCTTTCGCTGCTGCGCCCTCCGCCAGCCAACGTAACCACTGTGCTAAGCCAGGCGAAAGCTAATCTTTCCCCCTGTGCTGAATACCGTTTTTTCCTTCAAAAGCAGAAGACGCGCTTGCGGCACGGGGTAAAAATTGTACACCTAAAATAAAAAATCGTTGAAAGCGAGCGGTTGAACTTTGCGCTGACAAGTCAGACGCGCTATTACTACGCCATGAAAACTCATTAACAAAAAGAAAACACTACAAACTTACAAAGCAAACACAAAACACTTCAGTAAGCAAATACATGGTTTTTATTATTATTAATAATATCTTTGTGTGTGAAATATTTCAAAACAAGGTGCGACACACAATGCCAAATCACATTACTTGCATTTGTATCTGGTTTCCCGCCGTTTTTTTACTTTTTGCGCATACCACACACTTTCTTGTTGGGAATTTTTTCTGCGATGTTACAGACTCTATTATTGAAGGGAAATGCCTTTGTACTAAACGAAGTGGCAGATCTTTACTTTTTTGTCCTCCTACACTTTTTCTCTTTTCCTTGCAATATTTCTGTAGAATTTCTCTTACTAACATTAAGTGAAATTCGGTAACAAAAAAAGACCAGTATTGTACACTGTAATAGACAAACACATTTATGTCAGTTGTATATAGTATATAATTAACATTAATATTAATCATCACGTCAGTACGTGACCATATCTTTATTTTGATTATTTTTGATCCGTTTCAAATCCACTCGATGTAGAAAGCTAGGTTATATGGTCACTGGTCAGTCTTGTTCACAGCCAGAAGTACACGTGTCTGCCGGCATACCGCGAAGATAACCCAGCTCATATAACTCACACGTTTCAAAGTGATCCTTACTACTACTCCTTGAAAGAAACTCCATTAATTCTTTTTTATTTAAACAAATGTTCTTGTTATTTTGTATTTAAAAAAAAAATTAGACTAACGCAAAAGCAGAAATATATTTCAGGGCAAAAAATTACTGTTCACCGACAATGCTTCTATGGTAACAAAGCAACAGGATAACGTGAAATGCATCTAAATACGCCTAAACTCACTTGATAAGGGTTTTAATTGTATGTAAACGGGTCAGTTTAATCAGATTAAGGAAATGTGTATTGCTATTTCACCCCTAAGAATTACTGTTCTTAGCAATCTGTTAAAAAAAATGTCGAGCTGATGTCGTGACGTGATGACCTCACCTGGCATATTTATTCAAACAGAAACTTACAAATTGTGTTCACAGGAACAACAGTATTATTTACTTGTTTCACCCATGCATGGTTAATACACAGTCACACAATAGGAAAGCTATTCCAAAAACAACTTCTGACCAGCTGATAAAAACAGAATGTTTGCCATAGCCACACCATTCATTGCTTAAATGAATGAATGTCCTTAGCAGTGAGGGCACAGAAAATGGCAGCCGAGTTATCTCGTCTTTAGCAGTCTGCCGGGCAGACGAGTTATCTCGTCCATAGCAGCAAAAGGGTTAATAAAGATAACAGATTTATTCTCACGTTGAAATCAATCCTCCAAAGAACAGCTGAGGGTAAAATATTAAAAGTGTTCTAAATAATATAAATGGATGTCCTATTTTATTGCCATAACTATGTGTTTGCTAATCACGGAATCTCTTTCACATGTCACGCTTACAAGACCCAGACTGAGCTGCAGAATAAAAGATTAGTTTATAAAAAGACTGTGTAACTACGAGAGGACACACAAATTACCAACCCAAGCATTTACCAGATGTTGTGTAGTTTTACTAGGCAATTTCACATCCAACAGTTTGCCATTGATTTATAAACGGTACGATGCTGACACCTAGGTCAATTTCAATGTAAACTAAACAGAGCAAATATACTCAGACTCACCATCAGTGTAACACTGATCCTTGACGTAGTGAAACGTGAGCTCCAACATGGCGTCCAGTGATGCAGCCTGGGGTAAGGCAGCAGACAGTCTGCTGTCAGCTTCATGTGAACTCTCGGAGGCAACTTGTGAAACCTCTTCCTGCAATGTATCAGTTGAAATGTCAATTACAACAGTAACAACACAATAAACAATAAATACATGGTCGCAACTAACATATAATATGACATTAAAAAAACAGCTCTGTGAAAGGGATGACTTGCTACTTTTATTATTATTACTGACTACAGACAGAAAACTTGCTGTTGGCACCTTTCTGTGTTTTCAGGTGATAGTGCTATGCTATGAGGAGGCATGGAAATCACAGCCCACTGCGATGCGAGTATGACCAGCAAGACCCACCCATATTATGAAAAGTCTTCTAAAGCTGGGCTTTCAGAACCACTGTTGCTATCACATGTGTTTGGTGTGTTTCTCAGATGCTCAGCACTCAAGCTATCTGCAATAATTTTGTTAAGACTAAAAACGAATGCCTACGTAAACTGATGAACACTAAATGGGATGGATTTGGGAAAGGTGGAGAAATAGAGAAATGACTGGACGATTAATGATATCAACAGTTGTAAGACAAAGATGATGGTGATATATATATTGATCCTATTTTGAGTAGAAATGTTCCCGCGTGGGTTCCGGGGCCCCACTGTGGAGAAAACATGAAGACCCAATACGTCCCCAACAAGCATGTCGTAGGAGTTGACAAGCTGGGTTCACCCTTCAAAGACAGAGTGCATCTGCCTGAGAGGCAAGGAACCAAGAGTCTGCATAGAATAAGTCATATCGGTAAAATGGATGTGCACACAACACTCAAGTTCTGGAACAAGACCAAAGTCTAGAAGTGGACAAACAACCAGAACTTTCCGGCAGAAATAACAGCTGCTGAGGGCAAAGAAGATGAAGATTGGAAATGAACAGAGAATCACCAAAAACTGCAGCTAATTAAATTGGGGGGGGGGGGGGAGGGAGGAGGGAGATGGATCCAGGAAATGAGGAAATCCAAAAGAAACACTGATGAGAGAGGCCAAATGTGCAGACTGGATTCCATTCAAGATACTGAAACAACTGCACTGGAGAGAATAGAATGGTAGAATAAACTGTTTGACAAAATGGATAGATTATTTATAATTTTCTAACAAAGGGCTACTCACACTTCTGCTAAAAATTAATTTTTGTGAAAGTTTTTTTTATTTACCACTCACTCAGTTAAGGGAGTTGCTGGGGCGTAGCGGCTAGACGCTTACCTGTGGAGCGAAAGGTCGTGGGTTCGCTCCCTGGAAGAGCCAGACTTTTTTCAAAAATTACCTTGGCTCCTAGGTGGACCCAGCCTTGAGTGGGTACCATGTGCAGTCCTGAGAAGTAAAGGCGGCTGGCGTGATGCCGACCACATCACCCACCTTGTGCCAATTGGTCGATAAAATATGTCTAGCCCTATATGCCTAAAGGCATGGAAAAGGGTCCTTTATTTACTTTACTCACTCAGTTAATCAAATGATAAGAATGTAAAATTATTTTAAAAAAAACAGAAACAAATAATATGTTATGTTGTTGGTGCAACACAGGTGATGATGACCAGTCCTTTCATCAAAGGTGACTGGATTAGGTTTTGTGAGTGCGCAGACAGGTGGCTGATAAGGCCAATTCTAGCACTTAAAGTTCTTGGGCAATGTGGACAGGGAATTGAAGCCGTATCTCTTCAGTGTCTTTCCTGGCTCGTCGTTTCTGAATTGCTGCTGCAGTTCTAGCAGCTTCATGGGACACAGCTCCTCGATGAAGAGAGGAGTGCCAGGATGAGTGGTCACATGCAGCGACTTTTTAGGTTTTAGGATCAATGCAGAAGTCTTCATGTTGTCCTTGAAACATTTTTTCTCTCCAATAATAACTTTGCAAACATGCACTGTCACCTGCTTTAAGAAGCTTTCCCTTCAGTATATTTTTACCAAGGTAAAATCTCTGGGGTCAACCTAATCTCGCTGAAATGGATACCAGACCATTTCTATAATGCTCTGGGAACTGTATGAGAAGGAAAGGTGATAAGGAAGGGAACTGGCTACTCCTACTTCATATGCCTAAAATATGTAAAATTCAAACATTTCACATCCAGATGGCAGTGTATGCTGCAGGACCACTTTTACACTGTTAACAAATGAACAAGTTGAACAACACATACAAACCATATCAAATGTTGTATCCATGAGATCAACGTGGTCTGTCCCAGCCATGATGGATGAGAGGGCTGAGCTGATGTCGTGACGTGATGACCTCACCTGGCATATTTATTCAAACAGAAACTTACAAATTGTGTTCACAGGAACAACAGTATTATTTACTTGTTTCACCCATGCATGGTTAATACACAGTCACACAATAGGAAAGCTATTCCAAAAACAACTTCTGACCAGCTGGTAAAAACAGAATGTTTGCCATAGCGACACCATTCATTGCTTAAATCATTCAGTAGTCTTTTAGCTCACTACACATTAACCTACATTGCATCTGTTCAGTGGTTCACGAATTGCAAACGAATAAACATGGACATTGTTATTGCCTTTCCCGATAGCTGGGAAATTTGTGGTGTGATTTGTTTTCCTCAAGCAGAAGGTCAAAATGCCACTGAGATTCATCGTCGATTGTGTCATGCATACATTGATAACATTGTGAGTGACAGCTCTGTAAGGGATTGGTGCAGAACATTCAGAGATGTGCATGATGATGGTGAACAAGGATGACATTTATGTTTGACAGATGAGCTCATTCAAAAAGTTGACCAGGTCGCGGTGGAAAAGCACCCCTTCACAATTTTAGATCCTTCTATCAGATGCATCATCTAGTACTAGACATTTGTAGAGATCCTGTAGACAGAGGTGAAACGGTGAAATGGCACAGGGGTATTTTGAGTTATGCAAACAGAAAGAAGGTGTATTTATACTAAGACTCCTATGATAAAACCTACAGTGAACATTGGACTGTGTAATTTGTGCATTTCAGTCGATCATTTTTGTGTCTTTTATGCCGATATAAATTCTGCAGTATGCAATGAAACAAAATACAGTGAAATATGCCAGACAATTAATTGTTGAAGTGTACTCTTGTGTCCTCATTATTTTAAGTGCAATGTGCTACTGTTAACACCTCAGACTTGTCAAAATCTCTACCCCATCAGAACATATCTGATGAGATTTCAGACACAGGTGTCCTATCTTTAATTATCTTATCAACTGCTTAAAATTGAAGAAAAAAAATTAAAAACTTCAACACTGACCACTGCTGTGTTTGGGAACATTGTGTGGTGAGGACCCAGTCTATACCACATTGCGACTCTCAAACATCCGCAACTGAGAAAAGTACTTGAGGATTCAGAATTTGTTAAAGGCATTACCTAATCTCTAAGCCATAGAATTGCACCATTTATAACTAAAAACTGCCACAAAAAGTGTCAGACAAATACAGTCAATAAAATCTGTGCAGATTCAGGACGGACAAAACTCACATCCAACTTGAGCATGTTTTTGACAACAATCTCCAGAATATCCAAGCGCTGCACTGGCATGTAGGTCGTGATCAACAAGATATTCTGTGTGTAATTTTCAAAGCAGGACACACTCTTGGTAACATATGGAAAACGGTTGTCAAGAATCTGAACCAATACAGATCCTGTCCTGAAAAATAAATATTAACAAAGACGAATATTTTAGTCAGCAGCATTTATTTTTCTAGCACTTTTTGAGGTCTGTGATTTCTTCTGTTCTTTATTTCCCCACTGGACCAAAGACATTCAACCAAATGCCCTTCCAGCCTTGTTCAACCAATTCTCGAATTCTTTCTCCGCATGTTTTCCAGTTTGCCCCTATTTCTCTGTGTGCTCCAGCGCAAGGAGATTGTAGTTATACATTATCAGATGTTCTCAATCTGTGACCAAGCCAATGCCAGTGTCAACTCATCTGGCCTGGCTCTCTTTTGCTTTCCACTTGGTATATTTAGTTATGATAACCAACTGCCACTATATATAGAACATAAACCAATGATCAAATGACTCGACCCAGTCTGTGATAAAACCTCTTCTACAGAAAAGAAAATTTTAACCAAAGAATTGTGAGAACTACAAGAGCATCAGTGCCAATAGTGACCAAGCAACTTAAATACAATCAAGCAGAAATCATAAGAAAAAACATACTGGTTTAAGACCAAATTATATTTTCGAAGAACATACTGGTTTTGGACCAGAAAGAAGTACCTTAAAAACAAATGCTCAATTTTAAAGTATTGCTGAAAAAAAAACTGCAATAGCAGACTGATGGCCATGACGTCATAAACTTCAGTCTTTAAATTGAGTTTAGCATAAAGGGTAAGGCAAATAATAAGGACATTCAATTCTGATACCAACATCTTAGATATAACAGAAATACTATATATAAATTTGTGACCAGCATGTTTTTTTCAAAATTCAAAATGACATAAAGAAATTTTCAAGACAACAGTAGAAGTTTCAATAAATATATATATATATATATATATATATGGTCAAGTTACCAGATGACGTTGATAACTTGAACATTCTAAACAACCAATTATTTTTTTCAGGGGATAATAGATAATGATAAAAATGTTAATGATCATAAACTTGTATGAAGCTAGCAATGACACAAGTACAATTACATATGTAAAATCATACAGCTCACACACAAAAATCGACAAGGTTATACAATGAAAATCTGAATATAAACTTACATGGGTACAATCTGAGAAATAGACTTGAGAAGTGAGTGAATGTGAGAAAAATCCTCTTTTCTCTTTCCACCGTCGTCATCTGGACCCTTAGTGGTTTCTAGATTATTTCCGCAAAAAAAAAAGTAATACAATTATTGTAATTATATTGTCAACCCTTTGAGGACTAATATTACACAAATATTGTTGTCAATATAGAAACCTAAGGAAGGTCACAGAGCATTATTCAAATGAAGCTGTGTTATTCTTACTGGCATCCACCGGTTGTACACTCTAGTTAAATGTGTTCACACTCGAAGACTTTAGTCTTGTTCCAACCTTTGAGTTTGCATGTCATGCATAGATGTTTTACAGATGTGGCTTATACTGGTGCAGAATTATACTGGTGCAGAATGCTGTTCCACACCTTTTAAGCAGATGCTGTCTATGGAAGATAAAGCAGCACAGTGGCTAGATCAGCGGCTCTCAATCTATGCGTCGCAATCCTCGTGTGGGAGAGAGGGGCGGGGGGGGGGGGGGGGGGGGGGGGGGAGGGTTGAATGGCCCTTTCACAGAGGTCGCTTAAGACTATCGGAAAACACACATTCATTGAAGTTGCGAAGTAGCAGTGAAAATAATTGTATGGCTGGAGGTCACCACAAAATGAGGAACTGTATTAAAGGGTCGCAGCATTGGGAAGGTTGAAAACAACTGGGCTAGATACATGCCTGGTGACCTTAAGGTCTTGGGTTCAAATCAGCATCAAGGCAATTTGTATAATCCACACTGGCTTTGGGTCAACCCAACCTAAAATGGATGCCATTAAATGTTCTAGAAAGTAGGCATGAGATTTCTTATTTATCATTAGCAGCTATAACAAAGGTTAAGAAAAAAAAACAGCACACCGGTATAGCTTAAAATGTAAAATTTACATGCACATAAATGTACATAAATAAATCCCATAATATAATACCATTCAACAAAAAAACAATAACTAAAGCAAACATACAAATAAATTAGAGCATTTAATTTTAATTATATAATGTAAAGTCGTTAGTTTAAACTGAGCATTAACAGAGTTATGTGTAAAGAACTAACATTATAGCCCTCAGAGCTCTCATAAGTGCCCTGGCCCCATCTTCAGCAGCAAGTGCAGAGTTCCTTATCTAACAGTACCAGTAACAATCAGACTGTTATCTGACAGAAAAAAAAAATTCCTTTTTTTTTCATTTCAGCTGGTCATTGCAGTAAACATTCATTTCTTCAAAGTATCTGACACAAACCAATGTAACAGACACTCACCTTGGGCAAACATGGCTACCAACGTGGTCAAGCAAGGTTTCAGGTAAAATATTTGAGCAGACACCAGGTTCAGCATGAATGACTGGAATGCTTTGATCAGTTCTGGGCCATTGTCCAGCCAGTTCAGTTTCTACATAAAAAGATGCATGTTATTAATAAAAACTGTCTCTCTACTTCTGCATTCACCCTGAGAAAGGTGAGTGCCATGCTCAGCTGTGGTTTACAGCTAGGCTGTAATAACTGCAACTTTCAGCCTTGTGTTCAGCAAATCTTTCAACAGTGCCTTTTATGACAGGCTTGTTAAGTGGGTCTGTGGTTCAGGCACTGTTAACGTGCTTTGTAAAGATGGGGTCGATCCCAGCTGCAGACAATTTGACAGCAGACCGCCTTGCATTCATTTCGACAATGGTATCAATAGCCATCCATTCAGGAAACTACTGAAGGTAAATTTGCCTAGAAAAACCACAAGAGCCAAAAAATGCAGTGGCTGGTACTGCACCTGTAAAAGATACGCAACTAGCTTTTTGTGTTAAGAGGCAGTGGGTCTATCCCCCCCACCAATGAGCCCTAGAACCTGATATTGGAGACTATCAAGCAAAGCAAATTCCTATGCAGAAAGCTTTACCCAAAAAAAAAAAAGTTCTTAATGCTGAAACTATAAAACCAATATATCTATGATGACATTTTTACAAACCCAGTTTGCCTTATTTTGGAAACTATCAAATTAGTTTGTCTAGGTATAAAACTCTTACAGTTTGTCAATGCTGGAAACTACAAAAATATGCCTATAGTGGAGTCTAAGTTAAAAAATAATGAGACATTATTACTGTAAAAATCACAAGATTACGCCCACAAGGGAAAAAAAAATGGGTAACATTAAATATGCCTAATACAGTATAGAAATGTGAATAAAGGTATATGATTATTATTGAATTAAAATTAAAGAACCTCTCTAAAACTGGCATTTTCTTAGTGGTATGAAACACAACCTACGCACCATGGAACAATAAGCATGAGCTCTTCTATTTATTGGTCAGTAATTATCACATGACTATGACATGACCATGTTCAACTCAAGCAATTACGCGCAGTGCTGCAGGAATGGGTTTCAAATAATGCTCCTAAAAACTGCCACATACTGAGTGTACTAATGCAAAACATACCATAATTGAAGTGATAAAAAGATATATAACAGTAGCTGAAAAAATCAACTGCATGTGAATAACCAGCCACGGTCTGTGGTGTAAGGCGTTGAGTGAGTGAGTGAGTTAGTTGGGTTATCATCATTGAACTCCGGACATGTCCATAGGTGCTCAGATCCTCCCCTCAGTATGAACCCCAACGTCCGATGGCTGATAGTACCAGTTATATGTTGATTAACAAGTCTGGTGTGCATCTCGTTCTTTGCTGTGCCGATCTTAATTCCCAAGTCTGCCATTCTGCGTTGAGTACGGTTTCACAATCAAATCAAGACGATTAACATTTCATGGTCATTATTCTAGGCCTTAGAACAGGACACAATTGACTTCGCAGCCACATGTACACACAATTTAAAATTGGCGAATCAGTGATGTGCACACGTGGATTGGCACCCAAGACAACAGATCATGTCCTCCAAGACTGTCCCAAACACAACATATCAAGGCAACACTTTTGGCCAAGAAAAACATCTGTGCAAGTCAAACTATACGGTTTGCTGAGGGAATTACAAAAGACAGTGAAGTTCATACTAGAGACAACATTGCATATATAAAAAACCTATTTCAAGCGAATGAAAGAAGAGGAATAAGAAGTTTCACAATCCTAATATCCCAGGTTTAAGTTGGCTGAAAGAATACAGACTGCTTTGCATTGATTTTGACAATGGCCTGAGTCTGCAATGTTTAGAAAGCAAAACACTAAATGTAAAACTGCCTAGACAAATCAGCCAATAAATGCTGAATTTAGTTAGCAACACCCTGAAAAGGATATGCAACTAATTATTTTCTTAAAAAGAATACCCTCACAAAAATCATGGCAGATATTTTTGAATATATTTTACTGCTCAGTATTTCTCACAAAAATAAATAAGCAAATTTGCATACCATAATCAAGCCTACAAGGGGCTTGTAATCCAAGTTCAACAAACTAATACAGTGTTCCAAGTCTTTCACAATCTTTACAACAAGCTCCACCTGAAAAACACAATATGCTTGACTTTGTGAGTCAAATCACTGAAGCACTTATAAGACAGTAAGTGTGAACTAGAAACAATATATGCTATTTTGCAATAATTAAAACACATTTTAAGACTTTAAAAATGTGTATATCCTTTAAAACAGAGGTCTCCAACCGGGAGAAGTTAGGAAGTTTTGAAAAAAAGGGAGAGGGGAGGGGGGGGGGGAAGGGGGAGGAGAGAAAGGGTGTCAAGCAATTCTGAAACTGAGTGTATTTGTACTTGATTGTAATAGTCAGGATTTTAAGCTTCAACAGTGATGAAAACAAAACAATATGCTTGACGTGGAGAGTGATCTTTGATGTGCCTTGTCCAACATCAGACCAAACACAGTGGATATTATTGAGACAAACTATCAACCATGACATTGATTTTTGAACACTGAAATGCCCATTTTTGGTGACTGTTTATTTAGTTATTTAAGTCTGTTTTATGTGGATGTTCTGCACGTTTTTGTTAACAGTCCTTGAGATTTTTCTTTTTGTCCTATTTTTTTCCTTACATTTTGTTATCATGGGTTGGCAGGTTGTGGGGGTCTTGCCATATATACAAGAGGGGTTGTGGGGTATCGCCATACACAGAAGTGGTGTTGTGCAGTCTTGCCATACACACAAGAGAGATTGTGGGGTCTTACCGTATACACAAGGGGAGGGGGAGGGGCACATAAAACAGGTTGGAGACCACTGCTTTAATACAAAGAAGAAGTCATAAAACTCTGTAAACAGCCATCAACTTATCAAATATTCTATGCAGAATATAAGCATTTGACAAAGGTGATTAAAGGTCAGAGGATAAACTTTACTGCACATAATGTGATCACACCAGGCTCATTCTCTACACTCCATATGGTCATCTGCTAAAGGTGCTGCATAAAGAATAAACTTCCCAGCCCCAATGACCCCATAAATGGTGAAAAAGAAAATTACAAATGACATTCCAGAAATGAATCAAGAGCATAAGGCAAGTGGCTTAACGATTTACCACAAATATGCATTCGGCAAATGCTAATTTTGCCATTAAAATGTTGATGTAACAAACTGTGCAAAGCAGTTGAAATAAGTGACAAACATATACTGACTTTAAAAATAGATACTACATATATTAATAAAAAATTAACTCAGAAAGGTACAGAAAAACAATTCTTTATCATAATGTGGACTTCCCAAAAAGAAAAATGATTAATGATTACACCACCTGTCCAGTGAGCACTTTCACATACGACTCACGGAAGCTATTGTTCTCTGCGCCTGTCTGAAAGTGTCTTCACATCTTCTTCTAATAATCCATGACATCCAGTATTGGTAATTGTTATGTCAATAATTGTCAGCTTTTTGCTCCGGCGAGCAGTTCGTAAATCTGTAAATATGATCCTCGGCTGAACATTCACACTTGCCACTCATTTTATGAACAACTGACACAGGTTTTGATATCTAGGGTGGGGAGAGAATAGATTATTTGACTAGTTTTCAATAACATTTTGCTCCTGATAAACTTTCAGATATATACATTGGTGACTTGATAATAGTCAGTAGTCAATTCAAAGTCTTCAACATGTCAACACAATTTTGCATGGAAGGAAACTGGTTACTCCCAGACCCTGTACTGTTAATTACTCCATGTTGGGCAGGATTATGATAAACAGTAGATGTTCAGCTGTTCCAGATCTGATGTTCCAATCTCTTATGGTACAGATGGTCTCTCAGTTTGCTGTGTCATCAGAACCGATCAGCTGGTCCAAAGTTCCTTTTAAATAGTAACATCATGCACTAGCACATATTTTTAAGAATGATTATAATATTCAGTTAAGTTACTTTTTAAGTTGCTTCTATACTTTTCATGTGGAGGAAATTAGGTGGCCAACTAGTAACTAATATGCTATCATTTTACTGTTGTTGCAGCAATTGAAGTACTTACCTCAGAACAATCAGATAAAGTTCTCAACAATGTGTCATACACATTGTTATTTGCCTGTTAAAAATAATACAAACATTTATGTGAAACGTGTCAACAAATTGTGAAGGATAATCTAGACCAAAGCAATAAATATAGTCAAACAAAATACTTCTTAAATAAGGAAATCTGTCAAACTGATGCACACGCAACACTCAGGTTCTGGAGCAGGACTGCAGTTCAGTAGTGGACGATCAACCAGAACTTTCCGCCAGAGTGTACAGCTGGTGAACGCGAAGAAGAAGAAATAAGGAAGTTGGCTGATATTTTTACAAGATATTCTAGTAATCAGACTGAACAAGACCAAAGTCTAGAAGTGAACAAACAACCCGGACTGTGCACAGGAGTTTACAGCCAGTGAAAAAAATGAAGGTAATCGTAACATTCATCTCAAAAAACCACATCATTGTTGCTTTCAAATTCTTCCTAACTTGTTCACTGATATTCCAAGATTTGCTACCATACAGCAGAACAGGTTCTATGTTAACATTTTAGTAGCCTCTTTCTGATGTTTAAATGACAGCGATTTATAGCATAAGATATTTTTCATTTTCTGAAATGCAGCTTTCACTTGACCTATTCTGCTTTTAATCTCTGTCACACATTTTCCCATTTGTTGATATGACTGTTCCCAGATATTTGAATTTATTGACTGAAGTAATTATTACTGACTGATAATGTGGGTAAAATCCTCTGAAATGTCCAATAAGATCTGTTGAAATAAATACTGACAGCATGAGCTAAGCAAACAAGCTGTCCTCTTCAAATTACTTTATACCAGAGAGAAATACAAACCAATCATACCACATTCAAAGCCCTGTGATTCTTCAAAACATCTCTGATGTCTGAATAGAAACATGCCTTCTGTGTTTTGGAACTAGCCATCTCAGTTCACACAAAGATGGTTTTTCTGTTAGCAGCAATGCAGAACCTGAGGAATGTCAAGACAAGAAAACTAAGTTTTAACATCAACACCGCAGTCAAACCTCTGCAGGAAAGCGAGCATAACATAATCATCAGATAAAGCATTCCACCTAATTGAAAATGATTTTATTTTTTACATTCTTGATACTCTAGAGGGGCATGCAAACCACGATTATGACTTCTGTGTGTCTTTCTAATGTTGTGTATTTCAAATCCTTTTCACAACATTGAAACACAGCTTTACTGCTTATGGTGATTGATCCTTGATTGTGTCACTGCAAGTGTTCACTCAAACATTTTTTACTTAATGTCTCACAGCTGTACTGACTAAATCATTCTCACAGCTGTACTGACTAAAGCATTCTCACAGCTGTACTGACTAAAGCATTCTCACAGCTGTAATGACTAAAGCATTCTCACAGCTGTAATGACTAAAGCATTCTCACAGCTGTAATGACTAAAGCATTCTCACAGCTGTAAAGACTAAAGCATTCTCACAGCTGTACTGACTAAAGCATTCTCACAGCTGTACTGACTAAAGCATTCTCACAGCTGTACTGACTAAAGCATTCTCACAACTGTACTGACTAAAGCATTCTCACAGCTGTACTGACTAAAGCATTCTCACAGCTGTAATGACTAAAGCATTCTCACAGCTGTAATGACTAAAGCATTCTCACAACTGTAATGACTAAAGCATTCTCACAACTGTAATGACTAAAGCATTCTCACAGCTGTAAGGACTAAAGAATTCTCACAACTGTACTGACTAAAGCATTCTCACAGCTGTAAGGACTAAAGCATTCTCACAGCTGTAAGGACTAAAGCATTCTCACAGCTGTACTGACTAAAGCATTCTCACAGCTGTACTGACTAAAGCATTCTCACAGCTGTAAGGACTAAAGCATTCTCACAGCTGTACTGACTAAAGCATTCTCACAGCTGTACTGACTAAAGCATTCTCACAGCTGTACTGACTAAAGCATTCTCACAGCTGTAAGGACTAAAGCATTCTCACAGCTGTACTGACTAAAGCATTCTCACAGCTGTAATGACTGAAGCATTCTCACAGCTGTAATGACTAAAGCATTCTCACAACTGTAATGACTAAAGCATTCTCACAACTGTAATGACTAAAGCATTCTCACAGCTGTTCTGACTAATACATCTTGACCAGTATTGTGCCAGCGTCTCTTTCACTGCCCTTAAGCCTTTGTCAGCACTATCACGGTGAATACCAATACCAGCACATTCTTCTCCTGAACTGAGAACAATGCATTATAAATCACGGGCAAAGGTCATAGAATAAATGAGGATAGACAACCAGTCTTCAGACTATATAAAAAAAGTTTTTGTGCATATTTGACAGTCAATTCGGACTAGGTTTTTTTTTAACTAATCAAGTACATGTAATAAAGGAGACAAAAAGGATTAAAGTAAGTAGTAAAAGGATAGCCAAGGAAACACAAAGAAAGAAATTATGACATACGTTGACAACAAAGCATCAGCAGCTTTTAAAAGCACGAAGAAAATATGGAATTCTAAATAGTTTTTACAAAGTTTTGTGTTTTGAATTCTATATGTTATTCAGTGAAAGTTGGAGAACCACTAACAGTGCAAAAGTTAAATGCAAAAAAAAAAAAACACTCACACAAAAATAATATTAAAGAAAATAAAATAGAATTCATTTAAGAGAGATGAAGAAATAAAAGAGATGTCGGGTCAACCAGCAGTTAAGTATCAACAGTTAGCCTACAAGACAGAAAAGATGGCACTATACTGGACACATTATACGAAGAGAGGATATCCTCCGAATAACGATCCCAAATTATCGAGGCCGAAAATATTCCCTAACGGCCTCAGTCAGATGCCAATTGCCAACTTCTGGTGACTTACGCCGAGAGTAACCCCCATGCTGCTCACGCGGCGTGGATTGGGGCTTAACTAGATGTCTGGGACTCACGAGCAGCAGCTACCACAGCTCCTGCAGCTTCCTTTATTTCATTTGCTCGTGAGTCCCAGCCATCTAGTTTAGCCCCAATCCACACTGCATGAGAGGCGTGGGGATACTTTCGGTGGTGTCGGTATAGTCCCCGGAAGTTTGCAATTCGGCGGTATAGTCCCCGGAAGTATGCAACTGACACATAACTGAGGCCCTGTTACTTGGGGTATATTTTCAGCCTCGATAATTTGGGACCGTTATTCAGAGGAAAGCCAGAAGAGACAATAATAGAGGATCACCAAACAGGCAGATATAGAATAGATGAACTGAACTGGGTTTGGGGGGGGGGGGGTGTTGACTAGTAGTAGACGAAAGTGACATATAATTATAACTGCACAAGGCAATGAATTAAAAATGTAATTTAATACATTAAAAAATGGGGCTCTCCTTTCAATACCGGACGCAGGCTGGACGGCTTAGTTCAGTTTAGTGGGAGTTCTCTTCCTTGGCTGCACTGCAAACAGTGAGCGGAAAAGTCCACAAAAATGGTTAGCACATTTAAGATACAGCTTCAAGTCTAAAATGAGTACCAGGAATCCTAAATGTTCTGGCAAATCCTGCAGATGGTACAGCTACTTTTACTACCAACACTGCCACAGATTCACGAGACTCAGACTACAGTGTCGTGTGTACATCGATGCTTGTACTCAGTACTACTGAACAGTGAACTTGAATTGAATCTGTTGACTGACTTGAGGTTCAGTTTAGTAACAACAGTTTTACTTTTAGTACTAACACACCAGCAGTAAACCGACTCGCGCCATTTACTATTTAGTGCGTTTGTTATTATTTCAGTATGTAATCCTGAATGAGATCAAAGTTGTTTTTAAATTTAAAAAACAAAAAAGCGGAAACTCCGGGAAACGGACACTTCGTGTGCTGTGAGCAGCTGCTTCACTGGGATGACATATTTGGAGAAACCAGCAGTCTCGTCAAAACTGTAAATTAGTCTTTTAATTACATCATAACATTGTACTGAAATCGCATACCTTAATAAAGCAACCGACAGTTTACCTTTCACTATTAAACCATCAAAAAGTGTATATCCTGTGAAGCAATCATATAAACACGACCAACAACGGTCAAATTGCAATATATGATGTAAACATTGCCATGCCGAACATGGCGGTATTGCCAGATAATTTATATTGTTAAGACCTGGCCTGCCAGTGGAATTTTTGTCAAAACCCAAAATATGAGCAAATTAAAAAAAAAACTAGAATTGTAAAACATTGTTTTAAAGTATTATACTGAACATATACTCATCCTTATTAAAATTTTTCTTCAACAACTCTTTTTCCTTCGCCAATTTCAGTTATCACGGCCCCTTTCTGTTTTTCGCGCAAACTACCTCAGTCTTTATTTTTAGTTTGTCAGCACAAGAACTGGTACATGCTGTAGGAGATCGCAGATTGTGGAAAGGCATGATCGGCACACTAGTCGGCAAGACGATTGATGATGATGATGATAGCTGCATCGAAATTTCTTACATGTTCAACAGAATCTATATCATTTGATAGTGTGCTAGCTGGAAGAAAGAAAGGGATTGATTGGTTTGATTTGATTCAAGAACCGAAATCACAGCACTCGGGGCATTCCCATAAGCGCTCCGTCCCCATCTTCAGCAGTCAGCGAATAGTTCCGATACTAATGGTGCCAGTAGCATTCTGATTAAACGTCCGTCTTGCCTTTCCTCTGAGCCTCGAGCATCTGCCAGAACCTTTCGTCACTCCCCGCTGCATCAATCTCACCAGACTGGTGATCCATCTGCTCCTCCGAACTGTACACGCTCTCCCACAAGGTACTAACCACATCTGCCTTATGATGTATCAGTATTCCACTAAGTTGTACAGAGCCAGCCAGTCTGACCAAATGTTCATTTCCCAACACACCGGCGTCACTCGGTGAAAAAATCCAGACAATACTCCTCACCCATGTCCTTCGCAGCAAAGCATGCCACTCTACACGAAGCATAGGCCTACCTGTTCTGATTTTCCTCAGCATGCTTTCTGAGTCAATTACAATCACGATGTGTGTGTGTGTGTGTTGTTTTCTCTAGCCAGCGGAAAGCTGCAGTGACCGCCCCCACCTCCATTCTTAAGCTGGTATTTGTGGTATCATACGCTAGGCTCTCCTGCACCAAACGTCGACCATTAACTTTTGCCAAGAAGCCCCAAGCACTTCTTTTGCCTCTTGACACTGAACCGTCTGTGTAAATGATCAAATCCTCTGAGCGAGCATTATCTTGAATTAATTGCTGAATTCCCACCTCCGTGGCACCTGCTGACCAGTCTCTGCATTCCCGGCTCAGCGTGATTATGACTCTACACAGGTCTGACTGTTCAGGTGGCACTTTGACCCACTCCTCTCCTTGCCTAATGTTCTCAAGGATGCAAACCTGTCTGATTGTGACTGCTGCCTGAGCAATCCATGACCTCCATCTAATCAGCCGCTGACCCTTGTCTGCACCCAGAGCTTCATGCAGAATGTGATCTGTGTCGGCAGCTACCCTGAGATATGACTTCGCCTGCAGCACATTGTGCCTTCCTGCAACAGAAGGAAAAGGAAAAAAAAAAAAAAAACTAGAAGTAAGGAAAGAGGAAAGAGAAAATTGTGATTAGGACAAAATCTAGTTGTTTCCCGCTAAACATCAAAAACAGGAAAGTAAAGAAAAGACAAGGGGTTCTTCTCTGCAGGGGCACTGGCATATTTCGCTATATATAAGTGAAAGGAGTATTCGACAAGGAAGAATCTAACAGTGTGCAGCGTAAAGCAGACACGCTCAGTCTACTTGATTAATACCAACAGTAAAATACTGTCATAACTATGGTGCGGAAGTTCAAGCCACCAAAATAGCAGCAGGGAAACTGCTAAATATATGTCATATTTCATATAAGTGGAACTTCTATGCTTCGCTTCGGAGGTTACGGGTGATGAGCATTGTCTGGATCTTTTTTCCGGGGATGTCTGTCTGTCTGTCTGTCTGTCTGTCTGTCTGTCTGTCTGTCTGTCTGTCTGTCTGTCTGTCTGTCTGTCTGTCTGTCTGTCTGTCTGTCTGTCTGTCTGCCTGTCTGTCTGTCTGTCTGTCTGTCTGTCTGTCTGTCTGTCTGTCTGTCTGTCTGTCTGTCTGTCTGTCTGTCTGTCTGTCTGTCTGTCTGTCTGTCTGTCTGTCTGTCTGTCTGTCTGTCTGTCTGTCTGTCTGTCTGTCTGTCTGTCTGTCTGTCTGCCTGTCTGGTCTGTCTGCCTGTCTGGTCTGTCTGCCTGTCTGGTCTGTCTGTCTGTCTGGTCTGTCTGGTCTGTCTGTCTGGTCTGGTCTGTCTGTCTGTCTGTCTGTCTGTCTGTCTGTCTGTCTGTCTGTCTGTCTGTCTGTCTGTCTGTCTGTCTGTCTGTCTGTCTGTCTGTCTGTCTCATTCTTTCTTTCTCTCTCTCTCTCTCTCTCTCTCTCTCTCTCTCTCTCTCTCTCTCTTTTTTTTTTTTATCTTGTGAATTGAAGAGATAGATAACAGATTTGAATCCTTGGTAACTACTGTTTATCCCCCCCCCCACAAGATTGTCGACTGTGTCCTCGAGAGATGAAAAGTAGAGGAGAAAATGTCTCATCGAAGCTCAGCTTCGTTCGCCCTGTGACCAGAGAACGATCAGTTGATATTTGCATGTACCGTCTCTGATCTTTCCTGGACATCCGCACTCATTAATTTATTCGGGAACATAAGGGGTTTCGCTCGGCCCAGCTACTTCCCCTCCTCGAGAAATTTCTGCTAAGCTAATCTGAAAAAAAAAAAAAAAAAAAAAAAAAAAAAAAAAAAGTCTTTTATATATAAACCAAACTGTTAAATAATAGACTGACTGACTGACTTTCTACCCTACCAGGACATCACACAAGCAATAAACACCCGATGACACAATGTCCCACCATATGGGTAAGGATCGCCATGGAGAGGTCCCAGAAACCGCGTTCAGCCTTAGGCCATATTTATGGCCAGGCTATATTGCGGCCCCTGGCAAAAGCCAGAGTAGGGCTTCAAATAACGAAATATTTCACCCTAAAAAGGGCGGAAAATATAAATAATAACTGACTGACTGACTTTCTACCCCACCAGGACATCACAACAGCGATAAACACCCGATGTGTCACCATGTGGGTGAGGAAAGGTGGGGGGGGGGGGGGGGGAGGGGGTGTCTGAGTCCGGGTGAGTTGCGTTGAGTTGAGTCAAGAATTGACATTACAGCACTTGGGGCATGCTCCGTCCTCATCTTCAGCAGCTAGCGCAGAGTTCCAGTACTGATGGTACCGTCACAATCTGGTTAAATGTCCGTCTTGCCTTTCCTCTGAGTGTAGTCAGCCAGCCAGACCCTCTGGTTACACCCAGGTGCCTCATTCTCTCCAGGCCATAATAATCTTCTTTCTCTATTGATTTCGTTGCTTGTTCATTAACCACCACGCCGGCATGGCCTGGAGAGAAGATCCAAAGTATGCACACTACCCGTGACCTTTCCAGTGAAGCTTGCAACTCTTCTCGAAGCATCCCTGTCTTCACTTTTGTCAGCATGTTTTCAGAGTCTGATACAATTACGACATGTGTATGCATCTTGTTCTCTAGCCACAGGAGAGCTGCAGTTACCGCCTCCAACTCAATGCTCATGCTAGATATTGTGGTGTCATATCCTAGGCTGTCTTGCATTAGAGATTTTCCATTGGTTTTTGCTACGAACCCCCAGGCACTTCTCGTCCCTATTAACACTGAACTATCTGTGTAGATAATCAGATCGCCTAGGCGTGAATTGTCGTGAATCAACTGTTGGACTTGAACCTCCGTAACACCCACTGGCCATTCTCTGCACACCCGGCCCAATGTGATCATAACCCTACACAGCTCAGACTTTTCTGCTGGTACTCTGACCCACTCCTCTCCTCGCCCAATGTTCTCCAGCATGCCTGCTTGTCTTATATGATTAGCGACAAGATGGCGGCTACCAGTCATGCTGTGGATCCTGATTTAGCAAAGGCATTTGCTAAGCTGTCCATGAAAAGATTCAAGCAGAAAGTCAGATAAGCCTCTCGAATGTTCAGATTGAAAGTCTCAATAGAACAATCCAGCGTACCGCACTTGTTAAACAGGAAGTTGCAAGCCTGCCCCCAGAAACAAAAATTTACAAGGCAGTTGGTAGAATTTTTTTGCTGCAAAAGCAGAACCAGCTGATACAAAGCTTGAAAAGCAAGCAGCAGTCATTCGCTGAGAAAATCAAATCCTTGGAGGCATCTAAAGAATATCTACAAAGGAACATTGAGGAATTCAAGAACAATGGCAGGGAACAGGTGATGACAAGCAGAGTTCCCGCTAACAAATTATTGTTTAGATTGAAAGTATAGCTGTATCATAGTTGTGCTTCATTCGTGTGTTTATATTTGAACAGTTATTGATGAATGCATGTCGTTAACATTGTATTCTATAAACATCTCACTACAGTTTGCACCACGTACAGATAGTTCTATCCTATGCATTTGTGTCAGGTAATACCGATTTAGGCCAGGAGGAGTGAAAATACACCGGGGACAGAGGAATCTTTCACAGAAAGGGTTCAATAGGTAAATACTAGGAACGTTTTTTTAAGTAAGTCCTGGTATAAAATGTAAAAAGAAACATCATATATAAAAATGATTTATTGCAGCCAAAGTGAACTACACATTTACAATATTTGTCAACATAGTCACCATTGACATCAACACATTTTTGGTATCGTGACACCAGGTTCCTAATTCCAATGTCATATAAGTCTGCCACCATTGTCTTGAACCATTCATTAACGCCTGTCTGTAGGTCATCCTCAGTTTCAAACCGCTGGGATACCAGCCACTTCTTGAGGAGCATGAAAAGGTGGTAATCACTTGACGCCAGATTGGGGCTGTGGGGCGGGTGGTCAACAATTTCACAATTGTAGAAAATTAGTAAACAAGACCCTTTTTTGTTATCCCAGAGAACAGTGACCATGGTCTTTCTGACAGTTGGTGCTTGCTTACATTTCTTTGCTTTCAGGGACCATTAGTGTCACCATTACATCAACTGTTGTTTTGATCCCATGTTTGTGTAGGAAATCCAGGTCTCATCTCTAGTAGCAGTGTGCCCCAAAAATCCATCTCCCTTATTTTGATAGCGCTGCAAAGATTTTTTTTTAGCCGAAGCCAGTTATTTCTGTTACGTTTGATGGATTTTTTAATCTCGTATATTGTTTGTAGAGCAGATTTTTGTGAACTCTTAAATCCACTGCCGATTTGCTGGACCTGACACAGATTCATCCTTAAGAGAACACTGGAAAACACGTAAATCACATCGAGAACACTGAAAAATTTCACACCCGTTGAATAACACACACTGTTTACGTCGCCATCTTGCACACACACACAAAAAAAAAAAAAAAAAAAAAATGAGCTGCTCTTTGCCGACGATCAATGCATATTTCACAGTGATAGTAAACAGCTGCAAGACCACATGAACCTACTACACGACAGTTGCCTCAAGCATCATATGAAGATCAATACTGAAAAGACAGAAGTCATGAGCATAAGTAGAGAGCAACAGACCATCGACATAAAGATTCTAGATCACAGCCTAAAACAAGTGCAAGAATTTAAATACCTGGGAAGTATCTTTACATCCAATGGTAAAATAGACAGAGAGATTGAAGCAAGAATCCAACAAGCCAACAATGTCGCATACCAGCTTGCCCCAATTTTAAAACACCCTGCTGTCCCAGCTGAGATAAAAAGACAAATTATAAATGCAATCTTTATACCGACATTAGGTTATCAATGTCAGACTTGGACATTAACAAAAGAACATGAGAGAAGACTAACCACCTGTGAAATGAGATGTTTGAGAATGGCTGCGAATAAAACCAGAAGAGATCGAGTGAGAAACGATGTGATTACAAGAACTATTGGAACCATACCCATCGTTAAATTTATTGAGAAGCAAAGAATGAAATGATTTGGTCACCTAATGAGAATGGAACCAACGATGCCAGCATCAAGAGCATACAACATGAAAATCGAAACAACAAGAGGCAGGGGAAGACCAAGAAGAAGATGGATTGAAGGAGTCACGGACAACTTGAGACTTCATAACATCACGGCATATGAAGCGACTGAGCGCGCCCTGGCTCGGTTGCCGATCATCTGATAGACTGCGACGCCTAGCGGCACAAGCAGATTTTGACAAAAGAAAAGAAAGAAGAAGTTATTTCTGTCCACTGGTTAACATTTTTAGTATACATCTGGCACACAGTTTTTTTTTTTTTTTTTTTTATCGAAGGTTTCTTGGTGAACATAAAACTTCCCAAAATTTGACAGACAACACAGAAATCGTCAAATCACGATTTTCCTGAATTGTTTGGTTCATTGCTTTGGTCAAATTGTCTGTCACCACACAACGGCCGACATCTATGATCTTCATCATGGATATTTGTTCCCCTTTCTTTAAACATTCAACACAATTGCCTAACCATACTATCAGTCATAACATCTGGCCCTGCCAGACTAGAGAATATTTTGTACTTTGATTCTTTGCTGTCTACACAGCGAAGTTGTAGGGGACACGAATGCTGGTGGATGTAATGTCCTAAGTCCCTTCCCCAGCTAATAATGAGGGTACTGCTAGGGTGACCGTTTATTAACCCTCACATAATGCTTTAAGTCAAAATGGATGCAAGGCACGGCCACTTTTTTTTAGCCGTGGCAAGTGGCCGTTGCATTTTTGCTCCATTTGTAGACTGGAAGGATATAGTTTTGTTATCCAGCTTCTTAGTTGAGTGCATGGCGCGACACTGTGAGCTGCAGATTTCATTTGAACTGTGATAAACGTTTTGTGTGTTTTTCGTTGGCACAGGAGCGGAGCAACTATGGGGAGACCTGTTTGCTATGAAGCTGAAACTAAAATTACCATATTACTAGATTACTTGTCTTATTGTGTCTTCTGTTTGAGCTATCCACGATTTCCCCCTTTTTAGCCTCTGATCTTTGCATGCAGCCAAAGCTTCATACAGAGGGTGCTCCCTGTCTGCAGCTACTCTGAGGTATGACTTAGCCTGCTGCACCTTTAGCCTATCTGCAATAGTCGGCAATGCAAGGATGTATCGCAAAGTCTGTGTGATCCCAAGTATATCAGGTTGCCATTCTAGATGCTTTACATCTGGGTCTAGATGTCTTTTCTTGCTTCTAGATGTTGTTTTTGACGTTTAGATATTAGATGCCTAAGAACAATTTAGGAGATGTGAGAGTGTGGGAACTTCAGAAGCTGCACAGACACAATATTTGCATTAAAACAGTTGACAGAAAGAGCAATATGGTATGATAAGACATGAAAAGTCGCATTTATAGACCAGGAAAATGCTTTTGACAGAGCGGACAGGAATATGCTGTAAATCGCTTAAGAAGATAAGGAGTACCATTGGTTGACTTTGGTCCTGGTTCCACGACACTGGTTCAGTTAATCGCAGTGGACGACCCAGAGTGACAACAACAGCCGAGAATCCCTCAATTCGGCTTTGTGGCCTTAGAGACAGGTTTAGAACAGCTTCATCGACTGCGCAGGCATTGCCTACAGGACGTCATATGTCTGATCAAACTGTTCGGAAGAGACTGCATGACGTTGGACTTTAGGCACGACGGCGACACCGATGACCAGTCCTTACGAGTCACCAATGCGAAAATCCACTTCTTGGGCCAACCAACATCGTCCCTGAGCAGGTGACAATAAATGGAGACGTGTCTGGTTTAGTGACGAGCTTGTTTGTTTCGAGATTCGAGATGGTGACACTGGTGGATGCCTTGGGACTCTCAACGACGGCACGCTGGTCAAAAAGATACATAGCAAGGCAAAAAGGACTGCACTGACAGGTGGCAGAAATAAAGGCGTATGGATACGCCACAATGGAAACAAAACTATTGGAAGTATCAAACAAGAAAACGCAGTCCCAAAAAAAACCGCTGCTCACAACTGGAGCTGGTTAGGGTGACTAGAACTTTTATTTTTTTTACGAACAAACTGAAACTGGAACTTTAGTGACGAATCTTTCATTTTTTTTTTTTGCAGCGTCACGATAGACGGCGTAGGGTCTACCGTAGATGAAAAGCAGGTTTAGCCCACAATTGTGTTGATGAAGCTCTGCTACACGGTAGTGGAGGTGCAATGGTATGGGGAATGATCAGTTACAGCGAAAGGAGTCATTGGTGCACACTAACGAAAGCTTGAATGCGTAACTATACGTCCATTAAATTCGTCGACCACATGTCCTTCAATTTCGGAATGCCAACAGATATCTGTTTTTTTTTTTTTCAACAGGACAACGTCAGACACTCTTCTGCACGGCTGGCCACACATTTCCTGACTGCCAATAACATTCTAACCCTTCCTTGTCCATCCCCCCCCCCTTCCTCCACCTTTTTTTTGGGGGGGGGGGGGGCAGACATGAGTCTGATTGAGCACCTGTGGGATGAGCTGCAAAGATTTGTTTATCACCAAGACGTTGCTACAGCGAGTGATCGTGATCTGCTCCTGGCACTCCAAGAAGAGTGGGCAGCCATCCCACACGCCCACCTGAGACATCTGATCGCATCCATGCCCAGGAGATGCCAGTCACTGATCCACGCAAGAAGAAGCCACACTCCATTATAACGAGAGAGACCCACACCTAAAACTCGATGAAAAATCCGTAGCTCAGGTGAGAATAATGCTGCAGATGACTTTCTGAGAGTGAAACGAGGGCAATTTGATGTTTTGAAAAGTTCTTCTTACTCAAATTACTGCAAACATGCTGACTGTATACTTTCTTTACGTAAATAAGACAAAAATGAAAACTAGATGTTTTTTTACACACACACACACACACACACACACACACACACACACACACACATATATATATATATATATATATATATATATATATATATATATATATATATATATATATATATATATATATATTTACAAGTACATGGTCATTAACAGGTCGCATACGAAGTTTCAACAACGGTGACTAAACGGTTACTGAGTCACAGATTTTTGAAGTTCGGTAGAACTTCTGGAACAGACTATAGATCCTTTTACCTCTCGAGGACAGAATAGAGAATCAGAAAAATGAAAGCAACAGTAGCCACGTCATGATTCGAATCTGTTGTCTATCTCTGGAATCCGCAAGGTACAAGAAACAGGTTAGCCAAAAACTCATACTCTTAGAGACGGAGATGAGTGGAATGCGAAAAGTATCTTTTAGCTGTGCAAAATATAGAAAGGTTTGGCATAAGCTGAATGCCTTCTTCAGTTGTTGCTCCAAATAGGGTTCAAACTAATATCGGGGACTGTTTATCTTTAA